ATTAAAATAAACTGATGCAAGTTGAGTCCTAAGGTGGAAAATGACCTCCCTTTGGACTAGGGGGAGATCTCACAGGACATGACACACAGCTGGATTCCTGTGCAGACATCCAAAGGCTGGTAAGGCATCTGGGGGCAGGAGCGGGGCCAGCAAACCATGGGGGTAGCAGAGCAGGGAGCGACTGAGTTCTGTTCTCCGCTTTCCTTGGCATTGAACGCTAAGCAAAGTGGGCGGAAAAGGCATTGGCACAGAGTACAGGGGTGGAACAGGAAATTGACAGGGAATTTGATAGGGATTTAAGTGGGTAAGAATGAAAGGATTCTGAGCAACATTAAAGGTCTGGTTAGTTGGGAGAAATTTGAAATGGAATTGGCTCCATGCTCCGCAAGCCAGGAAAAAACAAAAGAAGTAAAAGGTTGGGGATGGGCAAGTTAAAGGCAGCAAGAAGGAGAAGGAGGCCAATAGAATGGTATTGAAATGGTTCCCCTTGGAGTCTGGCTCGGTAGGGAGCAAGTGAGGCAGAAGGGAGGCTGGGAAGCATTTGGGGGTGAGGGGAGGCCTGGGAAGAGACAAAGGCAGGCTCTGGAAATCTCAGGCTAGTCACAATATTCTTGTACCTTCATCTACTATTTCGAGGGGCTGAATTACGTGATCCCTGCCAGCTCTTCCTGGTTTTGTTTTTTCTTAACTGTCTTTTCTTGTGGCCTCCTTTTCAGACTGGATAGAACTATTAAACACATAGCCTCATGAAAAGGGCAGGTGGGAGGTGAGGAAGCACAAGCTGCAACATCTTGCATTGGGCCCAAGTTTGGGAAGGGACAGTGGACCGAAGGTTAGGGTAGGGGAGGGCGCAGGTTCAGCAGGAGCGCACAGCAGTGGAGAAAAGAATTGAGATGACAATCAGGAGGCCAGTTTGGAGGTTTGAAATCTTGGAGGTGGAGCACTTTCCAAGTGTGGACGAGCATTCAAGTGCGGCCTCTGCGTGGTGAAGAGAGGAGGAGGTCAGCGCAGCCGGAAGGTTTGAGGCCTAGTGAGGCCAGGGTCCAGGAGGCCGTGCTCGCTGAGAATTCAGCAGAAACACTTCTCAAGGGCCTACGCCATGCCAGGCATGACGGGGCTGAGGGGCTGGGGTGGCGGCAGGCTCGAGAAGCAGGGGAGAGGGGAGTGAACGCGGATGTCACGAACTCCAAAACTTGGGAGGATTAACGAAAGAGTAAAAGAACCGTTGTCTAGAAGTAGTAGGTAAGGAGAAACTTCGGAAGTGTTTGGAAGATAGAGCAGTTCATGACAGACATCCAAGGAGTACAACAGGCCTTCTTGGATTAAGCTTAAGGAGAAGATTTTATTTTTGATGTTCATTTCCGTAAAGAAAATTTGATGTTTAAGAAACATTTGCTTCTGCTATTGTATAATATTTAAGAGCTAGTAATACGTTAATATGGGATCACTAAAAATTTAAAAACAGGTTCTGTGACTATAGCTCTGAGAAGTCTGGATATGGAAAAGTAAAGTTATCGATGTATGAATTACAGTGTGATAGGTACATAAATGAATCCTTCTTTATGAAAGGATTTACTATGGTCCTTTAAATAAGAATTCCTAGAGCCCTTATTAACCACCTGAGAAAATAAAAAGGAAATTAAGCTGCATAAATTTTGAGAGTAGTCTGTTGACTAAAGGACACGTGCCTGTCGTTGCATTGTCTTCCGGAAACAGCAGAGTATGCTGGGAAAAACAACCTGCTTTTCTTCACTTTGGAACACAAACTTTTAGTTCACTGAGTAAGTTAAAAAAGAAAAAGGTCTGATGCTAAGGACGACTGAAATGTAATGCTAAGTACCACTAATAGCAGAGACTGCAAAAAATAAAATAGCCCTTTTCAGTAACATGTATGTAACATCCTCTGATGGTTTCTTTACTCTCGTAAATGTATAAAATAAGAGGCTCTTCAGCCAGATAACGTGAAATAGAGGACTTGACTTTAATCTCTCCTGCCGTAGGGTTAGATCTTGGTTTTTTCACTCTCTGTAAAAATAAGAATATTTATGGCATTGTATTATTTTGTGAATGAAATGAGAACGTATAAATAAATGTATTTTGAAAAGTTAACTGTAAGCATATAACATTTGGAGTGTCCTTACTGAAGGAAGTGCTTTCAAGTTTTGTGTATCCAAGTATTAGGGTTGGCGCTGGAGTAGCAGGCTGTTCTCATACTGCTGACTGGAGTATAAATTGTTACAATCATTTTAAAGAGCAATTTAGTTTTAGTTTCTGGCAATAATAGTGAAATACATTTATTGAAATAATCCTCTAATTGCTAGGTATATTACTTTTGAGAAAGTTTTGCATGTGCATCTAAGGAGATATAGAAATATGCATGGCATCTTGGGATCTTGGAAATGAAAAATTGGAAGTGAATGACATGTCTATTAATAGGATAATGATACATAAATTACAAGTATACTCACACAACAGAATACAGAAGGAAACATTGACGAAATGCAGCTGGAGCTATTCATGAAGACGAATCTCATAAAGAGAACACTGAGCAAAAAAAAAAAATGCAGAAAGACTTGTACGGTGAAAATAAAATTTATGTAAAACTGTTTATTGTTATGGCTATATTTGTAGATGTAATATGAGTACATACATGTCATGGGAATGATAAACATGAAAATCAGGATAGTTTTCCTCCTGGGGAGAGGAAGGTGAATGGAGGTAAGGAGGGACACACCAGAGACTTCAGTTATGAGATTATATATTTTTATAAGCTAGGTGTTGGGTACATTACTATCTATTTTATTCATTACATTTTTTTTGTAGACTGGAAATACTGTATAACAATTTTTAAACGGAGAAAAGTCATTCTCGCTTATAAACCAAAGAAATGAACAACCAAGGGGTAAGCAGGGAAGTAAGGAGGTACATTAGGGAACAGCTTCAGTACTCCCGAGAGTGGAGTTGAACAGCAAGCAGTTTCTGGCACTGGAGGTGTTTAACAAAGGGTAGCTGTTGTGGTGGTGGTTGCTATCATCATCATCATCATCATCATCATCATCATTATCATCATCATAGACATAGAGGAGCTGCGAAGAAGGAGAAACTAAATGGTTCGAGTAGCTATGTTGTACTAGGTGCTTTATTTACCTTTTAGTCGTGATTAGAACCTAGTTATAAAGCCTCTTAATGCACACAGAGGCCAAAGCCTAAAGGCACAAGGCTGCAAACATTTCTCATGACTCATTTTTTCAGTGTTGTTTAAAACATACACTCTCCCGCCAATATACACACCCTTTCCCTGTCTAGCACTTGAAAAAAAAAATTCAAACATCTTTTCTCTTTGGTTCATAGGTAGCATATTTTGAGTTAAATTTAGTAACTCCATATCCCAAACACATGGATAGTGCTTTATTACTTATTACAGAATACTTTTGGATCTCTCTCAGTTTTAATTTGATCCTCCTAACAACTCTGAGGAAAGCAGGGCAGTTGATCATTTCTGTTTTACAGATCAGTAAACTAAAATCCAAAGACTAAATCAGAGGTTCTTAACCCACGTGACCATGAACTTCACAAAATCCTATGTTAAATAGTTTATGACTGAATGGGCATTTTTCTAGGTAGAGGATCAACTTTAAATGTATTTTCAAAGGAGTTCAGGACTCTCCCCAATGGTTTAGATGCTTAAAGGGTTAAATGATTTGCCTAAAGCCATAGGTCACAGGGTCCTGGTGCAGCAGACCCCAAGCAATTTCTTCTTACCTCACACTCAGAATTCTTTTCATGACAACCTACAGAATCAAAATTCGAATTAGAGATATTACTGGTGAAACAGTTTTTGTAATGTTTACTGATTGCTTAGGTGACAACGTTAATAAATATACCGAAACACCTTACCTGGGAATTTGGTTAGTTCAGGTGTTGGGCAGTCACTAATCTATGCGGTGTTACTTTTCAAATGAACAAATCAAGAGCTGTCGTGTTACAAACAAGCCCTAACGGAGACTTGCTAAGAAAGGAATCTGATACGGTTGCTCTGTAACGTATTTCACAATTCTGGGTAATCTATAAAGAATAATCATGAGACACAGCTTGATATAGGAATGGGAAGCGGACCCCGAGCTGAGAATGGGATTTTCATTTCTCCTGGACCCATTACCTAATGTCTCAGGGTTCCCAGATGTAAAAGAATGGATTAAAGCAGATCACTTGTCAGAATCCTTCCAATTCTACCGTTGTTGCAGTTGGGTAGGATTTAAAATAGGAAGCGCTACAGGAATTTTGGGTATAAACTGTATACAAAGTCCGTTAATGTCAGCCTTAGTTTCCCAGTGAGAAAGCCCTCCCAACACCCAAGGTGGTTACTTTAGCCCAACGTGTCCGGGACCCCTAGACCTGCCCTTTAAAAAGGCCAGGCCTGCAGCCCCCTTGAGTGGCGTTAAGGGTGGGCGGAGAGAATGCCACGGAAGGCCAAAGGTCCAGGGGAGATTCAAACCCAAGGGCTCTCAATCCTACACTTAGGAATGGAGGAATGCGGAACGCCCAAGCCCAGCCCCGGCGAAGGGACCCGTTTAAACCCAGTGGGGTGTGCGAGCGTTGAGGGTGGGGCGTCGGGCCCCAGGGCTGTTTGTGTGCTGGGAAAACTGCCCTCCCGCGGCGGGGCCCTGGACTATAAGAGGTAGCGGCGCCCCTCGGGAACCCACCCGCCTGGCGAGGCCACGTGACCCGCAGCCGGGGCGGGGCGAGGTGCGCCCCGCCCCGCCCCGCCCCGCACGCCTGCGCGCGGCTCCCGGCGCTGAAATTCAAATTTGAACGGCAGCCCGAGCCCGAGTCCGACACTGGAGGCTGCGGGAGAGAGGAGAGCAGGTTGGGAATTTTCCCTGCCCCGGACTCGTTGTTTTCTCCAAGTGACACACTGAACCGGGACTCACTTCTTTTCTTTTTCTGAATTTGAACCACCGTCCCAGTCGTCTCGCAATCGGCACACGAAGCCCGTGGCCATGGACCCGTTTACGGAGGTGAGAAACCTTGCGAGCGTGGCCGGACGTGACACCCTTCTAGTCCCCCGCTTTCCTTTCGCACCTTCTGTCAACCTCGGGGCCGACCCCCGCGGAGAGCGCGTGCGCAGAGCGTGTGCGCTGCGGCCCGCGGAGGCCGCCGGAAGCGGGGCGCTGTTTTCTGCAGAGAAATGCCTGCGAGCAAAGTTTAGAGTCTGTCCTAAAAGGAGGTAGGGAGAAGAGTCAGGTCAGCCCTGGTTATTATGGATTGCCCCTCTGGAGTGGAACCCAGTACCCCCGAGAGTGAGGGTGGGGTCGGAAGGAACAGGTCCCACTGGAAGTAAAAGCGGGGACAACTTGGAAGGTGGGGTTGGGTGTCCGAGTGACTCACCGATGTGTGTGCAACCGCCGCCTGGAAATGGAAATAGAATGGAAAACGATTTTGCGGGATTCGTGCAACCCGCAGAGAGGCTGTGTATGCATTTAAGGGTGCTCTCCTCGAAGTGACAGCAGAAACGTAATAATAAGCTGGGGCCTGAGACCAGCGCATCGGTTCCTATGAAGCCAATAGTTCCTTCAGATTCCATGGCTCAGCTCACGGGTGAACTTTCCTGCCCGGATTGACGGGTAAATTGAAAGGAAAAGTGCTAGCTGAGTATGTACAAGTCCAAGTTATTAGGCCACGATTTAAAAAAAACAACAACACCACAGTAAAGAATTAAACCTTTTTATGCGTGTTTATGGGTAACATCACACTAATGTTTAATTCATCTTTTGTTCTTTGGAAATGGAGTATGGATTAATTACATTCTTACTGTGCCATTGTTTCTCTAGTTTTGACTTCTCGTTGAGGACATATGGTTCTTCCTCTTCTTTTCTTCCTTTTTCTTTAGGTTGTTGTGCAAGTTCCAAACTGTTATTTTTTGAATTATTACAGCGTGGGCCCACAAAATGTCTCTACACTAGATTAAAATATTTAAATGTTATGGAGAATAGTAATACCTTTTTTTTCTTTTGAAATGTGATTACAATTCTGTAAGTCTAAAATATTTAGAAATTTCAACAATTAGAGTTTACTTGTTTTCAAACTCAACAGTATGTATTCTTGTTTCAAATTCTCAGTCATCTTGGGAGAAAACACATCCATTTGCTTGCCTTTTAAAAATTCTGACACAAAAATCCAGACCACATTTTTGTATTAACTTCAAAGAATTGGGCTGGTTATGCACCATGTTTTGCACATACATTGAAGTTAAAAAGGATATATCATTTTTTAATGTTACTTAGGATTGGATTTCTTCAAACATTAACCTGTGTGTTCTGAATATTTCTTTTTATTCTCAGTAACTAACAGGAACAAAGCATTTTGAAAGTTGGCTGAAAACTGTCCTTCGTTTTACATAAAAATGTCATTCTGAGGCAGTACGAGTCTCATTTGAAAGAAACTTTATTTGAAAGAAAACTTTCATTTTATAGAGTGCTCAGAAATGTGCATTGTTTAATATGCATGGCTCATATTATGAAAAGTTAGGTCTGTTGCAGCTGGAATAAACAGCTTTGGCCTCTTTTCCTTAATTGGTAACCAGTGAACTATTTGAATTGGTTCCAACCAGTAGGTGCTTAATTGCAGCATTCATAACATTTTTTGCATAGTGAAATGAACCGGCCAGTCCCTTGTCTGAAAAGGACTGAAAGTCAGTTAAAATGACTGTTTCAACCAGCGTTTCTTATCAGAACCAGAGGACAGAGGAACTTACTGAGAGACAGTTTTCTCAGTTTCCCCATGCCATCCTACAAGTCTAGGGGAGATTTTAACTCATGACTTTGCCGTGGGGGAGCCAGGGCTTAATTCTCTCGGTAACTGTGGCTGAGAAAGGCCATCACCCTCCTGAACTCCCCTTTCCTTGGTGTGCCCTGCTGTCCCAGGGGCTTTCTCCCCGCCTCTTGTGCCTGGCAAACGCCCTTTAACCTCCTGCTCACACTCGGGTCTCCCTTCTTCTAGGAAAGGTCCCCTTGCCCGGTGCTCAGCTCCCTTGCAGCCGCCTCTTGACCTTGTTGCCCACGTCCAACACTGCTGAGCGAATATAGGAGAGAGCCATTCAGGGCAAAGTATTTTACAGTCAAGTATTCACAAAGGAGCTGTTTGAACATTTTGGCAATGTTTTCTTATTGTACAAAGTGTCCAATTCCACATACAAGTCTAAGTGCTCAGGCTGGCATCACCCCACAACACACTGTCTCTCCTCTCTAGACTTCCCACTGAATTATTTGAAAGCAAATCCTAGAGATGATATAATGTCCTACATAAATACATCAGTGTTTATCTCTGAATGCTAAGGACTTTAATAGAAAACATCACCATGTCATTATCACCCCTAAGCAATAACAACAGCCCCTTCACATCAAGTATCCTGTCAATGTTCAGATTTCCCTACGTGTCTCATACTTTTGCAGTTTGTTTGAATCAGGATCTAGACAGGGTCCATGGGGCAATCAAGATCTTAAAGTTTTTCCTGGACTGACCAGAAAGAATAAATTCCTCTTGATTCGTAGACGACCAAACAGTGTGAGCAGATGTTTATTATTAGGATCTGATGGGAGCTGTTAGCATTAAAAAGTCATGTTGATGATATGAAATTAGTTCTTTGACAATAAGTTCTTAAAAAGAGCGATTGGATTTCGTCGTAAGACAGTTTACAGCAAAGCGTTTAGGAGCCCAGACTCTGGAGCCTGTGTTGAATTCTGCCTTGCCTGGTCTTAGCGCCGTGACCTATGGCTCGTTATTTAACCTGTGCCTGGATTTTTTTCATCTGTAAAACAGTAGTGAAAAACAGAACCTACCAAATAAGGGATTTTTGTTTATTTCCCCAGGTGTTAAAAATGACATGAGTTAGTGTGTGCAAACACTGAGAGTACTTTGTATTATGTCCTACGTAAGCGCTAGTGATTGCGGTCACCCCGTTAGGTGAACTTAAAACTAGAAACTTAACTACTCAAAACATTGGTGTTAGCCTCTTAGTTGTAAGATCCGTCACGGGGGAGGGTCATTCCAGTCCAAGGCCAGCAAGTGGGAAGCGCAGGGCTAGGTGTGCGGGGTCGGAACGCTCTGTGTAGGACCCTAAAAGAGAAAAGGCTGCAGTGAACATACTGGGTAAAAATAAACAAACATGCTGTTAATGTTTTGAATGGAGTTTTCCTCATTTTCCAGAATTAAGTGAAAATCTCTGTATTGGCTTAGGAGAGCATGCTGCTGGCACACACTGGGAATAGTAGGTTAATTGACACTGAGTCTACTTTGTTTAAGAAGGCAAGGAAAGCAGTAACACTTCCTAGAAAAATTTCTGTCAGAAATGATTCAAGGCGGGTGTGGTAGAACTGGCTTAGGGCCTATAAAGGTCAGTTGTCCTAGACTCCTCCCTGTGGAGATCTTATCTCCAGATTCTGTGAGTTGTTGCAATGTTTATTTTTTTATTCTTCTACTATTTGAAGATGGAATGTACCTTATAAACAAAAGAACCCTTAAGTTCCTGATACACCGTTATAAGGAAGTGTGACTCAAGTTTATTGAGCTGTTAAATTTATATGCATATATCATTTCTTTAAAATTAATAACCTTTGGTACTTATTAGTTTTTCTTTTCCAGGTTAGGGCACTTTTGGGGGATTATCTACTTTAATTATTTTTAATCTTGAAATTTTTAGATCCCAAGTAGACACTAGAACACTTGTGTAAATTTGAAAGGCAAAAACCACATTCTTTTATTGTGACCCATCGCCCATAGTAACTGAAGCTATACTGACTCATAGGGTTTCTAACTGACTGGAATGGAATGTGGCCCTGTCCCGGAATGGGAGTCTTATCTGGGGAGTGACTTATTTTATCAGGGGGGAAATCACCAGACATACACATTTGTGTGACAATGTCACTCTTGAGTTTGTGGAGGCATTTTATTTGAAGGGTGAAGGCTCTGTGTTTTGGAAGGCACGTGCTTCATAAATCACCCTCCAGTGACAGCGTTGACATTTCCAGTCACTGTGCATGAACTTGACGTTGGAAGCCGTCCCAACAGCGAGGAGACAGTTGTGCCTTCCTCCCCTCTGAGCTCATGCGCCTGTTATATCCTCAGAGGGATTTTTACAAACTGGTATTCTGTTTTAATGAAGGAATGGAAAAGGTCAGACAGTTTAATTTCTAAGCCCGCTTAGCCTCTGCGTTTGCAGGGCGGGGATCCGCAGTCTCCGCCGCCCGCCCCCTCCGCCCCCCACCCTCCCGCCCACAGTTGGGCGCATGTTGGGGAGAATGATTGTTTTCCAGGTCTTGTGTTTGTTTCATCAACTGCTTCAAACAGGAGCGTCAGTGGTCAGAGCAAGGAAAGAGTGATCATAATTTTATGGAAAGGGTAAGCTTTCAACTTAAAACTCTTATACTGCTATTTCATTAAATAAAACTTGAAGATTGTTTAGGTTTTCTTTCCCTCTTAGGAAGTGTCCTATGTTTTCAAAGCACTAATGCGTCAGCTCCCCTTTGCTGTTTACCGCCACCCCAAGTCTTAGTGGTTGGGTTAGTTCTGCCACCGTAACAAATGACCACGAGCTTGGTGGCTCACAGCCACACACGTGATCTGAGGGTCGGAGGTCGACGGGCGTGACTGGGTTGCAGTCGGGATGCCGGCAGGATCGTTTTCCCTCCAGAGGCTCTAGGGGAGAATTTACTTCCTTGCCTTCTCCCGCTTCCAGAGGCCACCTGCACGTTTGGGCTCGTGTCCCCTTCATCTGTCTTCACAGCGACCAGTCACAGCACTGTTACCTCTGCTTCCGTTGTCACATTTCTCCGACTTTCCTGCCTTTCCCTTTTCTCTTATAAGGGGTATATGGTTACATGGGGCCAGATAACCCACTGTGGCCTCTCCATCTCGATTCTTAATCATACCAGTGAACTTCCTTTTGCCATGTGGCATGTCCATAGGTTGAGGGCACTAGGATAGGAACATCCTTGGGGGACCGTTATTCTGCCCACCTACCTTGGGGCCTAACACACCGACCATGCTAGTTCTCACAATCCGGTGTTAGGCGCGCGTGTGCTCTTGTCGGTCTCCCCAGGGGTCATGCCGGAGTCTGCAGGGACCTGGCAGGTTATCGGGGACTGCATGGGCCAGCGTGGCCTTGCTCCCGTGCCTGGTGGTTGCTGTCGGCTGAGCTGGGTGTCTCAGCAGGCGGGCCTGTTCTTTTCACGTGGTGGCCGTGCACCCGCGGTGGGAGAGTAGAAACTGCAAGACCTGGGGCCTGGAATTGGAAGTCGCTCAGCGTCCCTTCTGCCACATTTATTGGTCAAAGTATATCATAAGGCCAGCCCCGGTCAGGGGTGTGGAAGTAGATTCTAACCTGTGGGTGGGAAGAGAAAAAAAATTGTGGGGATTTAAAATCTTTTACAGCTAACTACACCTTTCACGCTCATCTTACGTCTGTAGCAGTTTCGACATTGGGATGCTGTTCATTTAGCAGATCTTGACTTAAATTACTTAGGATTTCACTTTTGAAATGTATTTAACTGTTATCCAACATGGCAAATGGCGATTTTAGAAGACACCTGAAGTTTTGTGAGCCTTTGACTAAACTGTTTTAATTGTCACACGTGTAGAAACTGCTCGAACGAACCCGTGCCAGGCGAGAAAACCTGCAGAGAAAGCTGGCGGAGAGGCCCACGGCGGCGCCCAGGTCGGCGGCTCCCGCCAAGCGGGCCAGGCAGCCGCTGGCAGAGGCCGGCAACCAGCAGCCTGCGGAGGCAGGTAAGAGTGTGTGTGGGGGGGGTGGGGGGGCACACCTGCCTCCTGGGAAGGAGGGAGGCCCCCCGTGTCGGGGGGAGACATAGGTCGCAGCCCCTGCGGGAAGGATCCGCCCTCGCTTCTCTTTCGGGGCTGTTTTTGCGTGAGGCTTAGAACCGCAGCCGGTTCTATGGCAGTCTTTTTTTTTTTGAAACAAATATTTCACATTAATGGGTTGAACTTCACTTTTCTCAGTCCAAAATTATTCTTAAAATCCCCGAGGGAAGAAAATGGAGGAGCCAGGGTGTGGCATTACCTGCCCTGACCATGCGGCACAGTGAGCGCCAGGACCAGGCGGCGTCCCTGACGGGAGCAGGGTGCAGACCTCCGTGCAGGTGCCGGATTGTAATGGGCCTTTTCATCGCCTGCCGAGCCAACTCTCTAGGCCTAGGCACGCGTGTAGGTTGTTGCCGTGTAGGGCTGGTGAAATTAAACACACACACATGCATGTACGCATGCACACACGCATTTCCTTCCTGCCTCCTCGCCTGCCCAGCCAGCTGCCTGAGTCTTTTCCCAGAGTGCAGAGTAGTCTGGAGAGAATCCTTAGTATAACTTTAAAATGCAGTTAGAAAAAGAGTATTACAGAGATGAGTGCTTGAGGCTGGCTTACAGTTATTTTGGAAACTAACCACAGAACGATGGTTTATTTTTGTATATTTATTTTTAAGGAAGGGAGGGGAATACGTTACATATGCACGGTGCTCGATAGGAAAATAGAGGCCAGGCCCCAGTCCAGGGCCTTCTGTTTTCACTGTTTATCCCACCAATTACTGAGTTCCCGTGGTTGGAACTCATTTGGGTTTTTTAATGGAGGCGTTTACTGGTTTACATAAGAACTGTAAACTTAAAGAATTCTGTATTTCCAGGTGGTATTTATTGCATGCTAAGATAGAAACACTTTAATAAGATGATTAGATAAGGTAGTGGAGAGTAAATGAATTACAGATTAGAAAATCTCGTGATATACGTTTAAGTAGACGGGACATTGATAAGGGCAGTCCCGTCCTCTCTCTAGTGCAGCTGCAGTCACCGCCAGGACAAGGACACTTGGCTGGACAACCGGCGGAATGGACCACCTGTTAAATTTACATCGTTACTTTTTAAAAATATTGATTTGTCCAGGAGTTATAATAGACTCATTCCTGGGTTGAAATAATATGCCTTATATTTTGATAGCTCTTTTTTATTGTAGGACTTTAAAATTTATTTTATAGGCGTTTGTGGAAGTTTAAAATGTGAAACGTTAAGCCCTTGTGTTGATGAGATTGTGGGGTATTGACTAGATAAATCAGTCACTTTTCATTCCCTGCTTCCTTCCTAGACCTCAAGCCAGGTGCCCTTCTCCTTTTGCTTAGGATTGTCCATGAAAGGTTGTTTTAGAAACAGAAAGTCTGGTTTCTACCCTTAGCTCAGCTATGTCACTTTGGCAGGTCACTTAATTTCTCCAGGTTTGATTTTTCTTACCTGAAAACGAGGTGACTGGGCTGTGTGATCTTTAATGCCCCCAGAACGTTTTCTGTGTGTATGCGCTTCTGATTTCCTGTTGTCCTAAACTGTGTGACATGTTATGCGTGTATCTTGAGAATGTTACTTGAATTTATTTTCATTCAGGTTTTTTAAACCATGAATTATGTTTTCTTAAAAAGAAATCTCTCATGTCAGATTCTAAGTTACTGAAAGAAAGTAAAATTATACACATTTCTTGTGAGTAAAATCTTTGAAAGGGTTAGAGAAACACAATGTTTTAGTAATTAAGTACTTATGGCAGGTTGTTTGTGCTGTGAGAAAGTATGGAATCTTGAATTTTTTTCCCCTTTTTAATCTAGAGAAATCTTGTACAAAACCATCACCTTCAAAAAAGCGCTGTTCTGACAACACTGAAGTAGAAGTTTGCAACTTTGAAAATGAACAACCGGTTGAGTCAGCTTCTGCCAAACCTCGTCCTCCGAGCCCTGTGTCCCTTCAGGTGCGGCCGCAGGCGCCAGCTCCGGCCAGTGGATCCCCGCCCGCCACCCAGGCTCCTCTGCTCAGCCCGCAGAGAGGACTGGACGCGGGGCCAGAGGTGACGGCAGCCTCCTCCATTAAGACGCGGATGCAGAGGCTGGCAGCCCAGCGGCGCCACTGGGATGCGGACGACGATGGGACAGGGATAAATGGTAGGGATTGCGTGGCCCCTAAGTCTGTGTCAGTAGGGGTCCCCTCGGAGTGTTGAAACTTGTGTGTTTGTCAGTTAACACACGAAGGTAGTTGCTTTTGCCTTACCTGTGTCCTAGTATCCATCTCTTGCAAATGGTTTGTACGTCAGACGTGTATTTGTCAGGTGGTGGTTCTCATTGAAGTAGATGGTGGGGTTCTCCTACTCCTTACCTATTAGCATCACGGGCCTTCAGCTCTATATTCAAGCAATTCCATTTTATGGATTGAGTAATTAAGTAAACTTGAGTGACTGTGGTATGCAATGCCGCTAAATAGGGAAGACAGAAAACTTAAAAAAAAAAAAAAATTGGCTGAGCACCTACCGAGCGGGTTCCTGCTCTGCTGAGATACTGGAAGCAGGTGGAGCAACCCTTCCTGGGCAGGGCGGGGTTCGGTGGAGAGCAGGGAGCGAATCAGCAGCCTGGCAGTGGGGCTGTTTGTTCTGCAATACGTTTTATCCACCTCCTACCTTGTTACCAAAAAAGCCTCCAGATGACTTACAAAAATGCCTATGTTACAAACTAAGCAAATAAGGAAATCAGAGTGAAGAGAAGGAAAAAAAAGTGCGGGGTAAGGTTAGCTTATTAGTGACAGGCCCCAAGGGCCTCCGCACTTGTGCAGACGGTTCTGCACTTGCTAGCAGCCCATGGAATGAGGGGAAACTATTGGCTATGTGACTAATGTTTATGAGATAAAAGCAGAACCATCATTGGCCCTGAGACCCGAGAGAACTCTCTTCCCTGTGTCCTCAAAGATGGCCTTGTGCAGGCTAGTCAACACTCACGGTTGGCACAGGGCCCGGCTCCAAGCTCACATCAGCGAGAGCAGTTCCACAGGAGCCAGCAAAGGACAGGTGGGCAGCTCAGCGGCGGGGCCTCCCCAGGGAAGGGCTCCCCAGCGTGGCTTTCGTCGCCGGGCTCCTGTGTGCCAGCCCTCAGAGCGTTGGGTTGGAATCTCACGAGTGCAGCGGAGCCCTGGAGAGGGCTTTTTGAAAAATTTTTAAATTTTTAAATTTTGGAAAGCTGCAGCTAATTCTCCTGTGTAGCCAGAATTGAGAGCAAGTGATCTGAAGAAATGGATGGATGGACGGACGACATGTGCTTTGGGCAGCCTCCCGTAAATATCAGTTCTTTTCATAGAAATTTGGAGACGTATTAGACAGGAAAGCATTTAAGGTTATCCTTTCTGGCAGTGATGATAATCTCAAGAGCAAACACTGTGTGAAGCGCTGGGCATCACACTTTTTTGTTCTAACATGGTAGAGCATTTAATTCTTATAGCAACCTTCTGAGATAGGTCCCACTTTTATCCTTATCTTATGGAAGAGAAAACTAGGTTCAGAGAGGCTAAGAAAGCTGCCCAGGGTGAGCTGCTGCAATTCAGGCCCCCGCAGTGTGACTCTCGTGCCCCACCCTCGCCTGCTGCGGCCTGCCTGCTGCGCCCGGGGCACGTGACAGGGCGTGGGTGTCGCGGGCTGTCGGTCACGCCCACTAATGTGAGCGGAGCAGCGGGTGGGGGTCACCGCGCCATGTGCCTGAATGAAGGACGCCCCCTTTCCGTGCTGTAGGAGATATCTGTGGGCAGCAGAGTACAGATTCCCTTTAAATGAAAACATGAAGAAAGCGGGTTGAGGTTTAGCACGTGGTCAGAAGAAGAGCCAAGGCCCTGCGTGTCCGAGAGCGTGGAGCTCGGGCAGCGGGGATTGGAGCAAACGCTCGCCAGGGCGCGCCTCGGCCGGGAAAGGAGTCCCGTAAGGCATCGTGGCCTGTCCCATTTTAAGCTTTGAAACTGGGGACGGAAACGTTTGTAATGAATGGTCTAGTGAATGCTAAACAGGACTGAAGTAGGTATCAGCCAGTTACGCATTTGAGCACTTACACTGAAATACACTTTAACTGAAGCCTTGCTTTCGGACAGAGACCGGACGCCCACTCCTAAAACAGCGGGAGGAAGCGGCGTCTGCTGAGAGGACAGTGCTTGTCCTAAGGAGATGGTCGTGGTGTGCACGGGGTGGGGCATGGGGTCAGGGAAGGTTTTCTGGAGGGATCGAGGCGATGAAGCTGGCCTTTGAGGGGCTACTGGCTTCAGACGGTGGAGGTTTTCTGGGGTAGAAGCAACCGAATGTGTAAAAAGCGGACACCGTGACCGTAGCGTGCAGTGCGTGAGGTCGGGGATCTGATACCCAGTGCCTGTGGGAGGGAAGGAGGAGACGCATTTGAAGAAAGCGGCAGGGCCCAGAGCCTTTGGAATTTCACCAGGGCGTGCTGGGGGTGCAGCGGGCGTTTAAGCCGGCAGCGGTCTCACGAGCTCCCTCGGGCTGCAGAGCGCAGGGGGTTGATTTGGGCTCGGACCGGGGAGACCGGCGAGGAGGCCAGAGTCGCCGTGCAGGTGCGCCTGGTGAAGGCCTGCGGGGGCGAAGAGGAGAGGCCGGCTTTGGGAGGCTTTGGAGAAGGACCCATGGGACATGGTGACCGGATGGGGGAGTATGAGCGGGAAGAGGAAGAGGCTGCAAGGAGAAGGGACACGTGTGTTGCACATCCAACTTCAGGTGCGTTATCTGGCCGCCTGGGGTTTGGCCAACAGGCGGGAGTCGGTAGTAGAAGGAGACCAGGAAGGATGGGCCGCAGAGACAGGGCTAGCGGAGGACGACGTCACACGTGGGAGTGCAGGGCCTGCAGAGTGTGTCCTGGCACCTAGTGACCATCGCAGAAGCAACTTCGGGCAGCCGAGGTGAGCTGAGTGGTGAGCGCATGCGGTGCAGGCGAAGAGGGGCAGTAGCTGAAAGGGGGGCACGTTGATGAGGATGTTCGTTTCTGGTTTTAAGATGAGAGGGACTTGAGCATATTTACGTGCAGAGAAAACAGTTCGTAGGGCGGAAGGAAGGGTTCGTTCGGAGCAGATCCCTGAGAAGTTTGGGAGGAGCAGAATGAAACCTTCAGGCAGAGGTGTAAGCCTTGGCGGGGTGGGGGGGGGAGGGACACGCCCTCCCGTGGGCGGAGTCCACGTGGGCGGAGCCCGCGGAGGAGAGTGTCACGGCCCTGGCTCCCCTCCAAAGGCGCGCACGTCTGCACCTGCAGGCGGAAGCCCTTCACGCAGGAAGGGTTGCGGAAGGGTTGCGAGCCTGAGGTTTATCCCCACCTGAAGTGGGGAGAGACTCCTAGTCTGACCCTGTCCTAGCCACTACCGTAGCCACTAGCCCTGTGAAGTTTTTAAAATTTGAATTAAAATGAAATGACATTAGGCTTCTCAGTTGCCCAGCCACATTTCGAGTGCTCACTGGCCTCGTGTGGCAGCCACTGTGCTGGACAGCACAGGGAGAACATCTCCCACGTCGCAGGAAGCCCTGTAGTACAGCACTGGCCTGATTTGTCTTTACAACAAAAAGCTCCTGTGGAAGTATACCTGATCTTAGATTGTGCGGCACTGTAACACCACAAATTCTAAAAATATAACCTAAATGTATGCCGTCTTATAGCGTTCAGAATCCATCAAAGAATTGGAAAAAATTGGGCATAACAAAATTTCATTTTTGTTTTTGATTTGGATTAAGTATCATCTGATTTGAAATGATACTGTCAAGTTGAAGCAGCTTGGTGCTTGCATGTGTGAGAGCTTTTGACTAGCTCTTAATCCTAGTAACCTCACTTAAAAATTCCGAACGGAGTGATCCTGGTGTTTCCCCATACAGGCGTCCCTTGACCGTGGGCGTTAATTCGTTTTGCAGGTGATAACCCGGAAAGCGCGCTCGGCACGGCAGTGCCCGCGGAGGACAAGGCGGCCTCCCCTCCCACAGCGGCAGAAGCCTCGGCGGCGCCGATCGGGAGAAGGGGCCGTCTGGCCAACCTTGCCGCAGCTATTTGCTCCTGGGAAGATGATGTCAGTCACTCATCTGCAAAGCAGAACAGTGCACAAGGACAGCCTGGTACCACTTGTTTATCCAAAGCTTCCTCTGCAAGCGGAGCATCTGCTAGGATCAATAGCAGCAGTGTCAAGCAGGAAGCTGCATGCTGCTCCCAAAGGGATGGCAATGCCTCCTTGAATAAAGGCCCGACCTCGAGAGCTGAGGGTGCGTCTTTGATTAGGGTTGCAGTTTCCAGCTCTGTGGTAAGTAAATACAATTTTATTTATTTTTTCTTTTTTTGTTTTGTAAATACAATTTTAAATGCAGAAAACCTTTCCTTTTGTTATGCATGGTAATGTATATTTATGTACAGGTATGTGTTTTTATAAAATATCCAGTGTTTATGTGTGTTTTTAGAATATTGGTTTCATAGAAAGTAAAAATCATCAATTTGGTACCCAGTCCCAAGATACATGGGAAGTTAACAACTAGTGCCATTCCGAAATATATATATGTTTTTATTTTAATTAACAGTTAAAGTTTATAAGTGTACTAGTGTGATACTATGAAAGAAATTGTTTTTTTAAAATAGTGACTCTGTTCCTCATACTTAATTGCCCAGCAAAATAATATGCAAACTAAACTACAAGTTATAATTTGAACTATAGCATTTAACCAGTTGGTTTTTTCCAAACCTTCTATGTGGGTTTGATCTATTACATAGCAAGACTGTTTTTTTCATGTGGTTACATAAAGGCAACCAAACAAAAAGGATTTGAGTTGTTTTGTTATGGAACTATCTTTAGATATTATGAGTGTTGATCTTTACCTGAAGTGTTGTTATGTTTCAGAAAGCGTCTTCCCCTTTGAAATCTTCTGTGTCCGTCACCAATGCTAAAAGTTGTGAGGTACAAAATCCTGAGCGACTTCGAAAAGCCCCGGCTAGTCCTCTGAAAACCGAGGTGTTGAAACCAGCTGGGAAGTCAGCTGTATCCCAGACAGCTCAGCCCAAAGAAGCATTAAATAGAGAAACTTGTCTGCAGCCTCTATTTAAAGACAAATCTGCAACATCAGGTTACGTATTTTTAAAAGATCTAAAGTCACTGCCGATTATTTTCAGGGTTTCTGTTCTCAGCGTTTTAAGTCTCTGGCTGTGAATGATGCAGTGTTGATCTGCCTGGGCAGCCATAGAGCGTATCGAATTAGACTTCAGATTCAGCTTTCATTGATAAAGTCAGTATGTACGAGTGTAGACTAATTCAGTTACTGGTCAAAGCATTTAAGCTGTTACATCTGGGCAGTTTAAACGTGTTTTTTCTTTGAATAACTGTCCTAGATACATTCTTCTGCACTTTCTGATGCAGATGAAGCACATGCAACTGGAAGTCACATGTTAGGGCATAATGGAGAAATGTTCTCATAGCCAAGTGTGCAGGGCAGTGCTTCTCAGCAAAGGGAAGTGAAGGTGTAAGCGAATGACCCCACCGCCGTTGCATTTGTATGTGTGTATACTGCATGAGAGTGTGTGTACATGAACAGTCGGAATCACCTCCTTGTGACTTACCCCTAATGCACACCCCAGCGGGCCATCGGTTGAGAAACACAGGACTCAAAAGCATGGTAACCTGGTGTACTTTGCACTCTGTTCTTTTTCATTAGAATTGCTCCTCAAAAGACTGTTTTCATGCTAAATTTTAACTCCTTGAAAAACAGTTTCTCCAGATCCCACAGTCTATCATAAAAGGGAAGTAGACAGAGACGAGAGCAGGGAATCTGTCAGTGGCGGGCTGTGCAGAAGCCGGCAGTCAGTTTCCAGATGAGCCGGAGTGAGAACTGGAAACTTGAGCAAAATCCCAACCCGGCCTTGGGTCGGGGACTCCCAGTTTTCTAGAGGTTTAGGGCGCAGATAGGAACGTGTAGATAAGAAGCCTTCTTCTTCTTATTTAGTTTACATTTCTTTGAATTGTTAGTGGACTCCAGTTTGAGTATAGTGAGGCACTGTGGAGTCTCCACACTGTGGCCCTGGGTCAAATCCTGCCCCTCACCTGTTCCTGCCAATAAAGTTTTACTGGGACACATCACGGCCATTTACAAGCCAACTGCCTGCCTGCTTCAATGCAGAGCTGAGTTGTGACAATGGCCATATAGCCTGCGATGCCCAAGTGCTCATTGCTGGCACTTTATAGGAAAATGTTTGCCAGTTACTGAGGCCGGATAAACCTGTGTTTTACCCAGTGAGAGTCTAGCACCCTCCCGACGGAGGAGTCTGTCTCCTTGGTTCTGTTTCACTGTACCCCTTGCTGGGTTAACTGCTAAGTTTTCATGTTAGGGCTCTCAAAAGCAAGATAAAATAAATTGGGCTGGAGAAATAGAAGTAATTGGTTTATCATGGCCAGGACACTTGGTAGTTAAGGTATGTTATTGATATATACACAGTCAATTTCCAATATTTAGGTTCTGATTATTGTGTTTAAGAGTTTTCAAACATTCACTGTCCTTTCTCTCCACCTTAAAAATAATTTTTCTTTTTTTAAAGAACTGAGTCCTATAATTAGATTTTAGGGTATGGAATTAAATAGTATGGTAAAATAAAAAATTTTTTAAACTACTTTCATATTGTTTACTTTCTAAGTGAACATTCCTAGTAGAATCAAAAGCATTTTGGAGCTGTGTTGGATTTCAGAACTTTTGACATAGAAATCATAATTGTTACTTATTCTGAATGGCCTCCAAACACGTGTTTTCTGTAGTTGGAGCAGGAGTCAAGCCTTTCCTGGAACGCTTTGGAGAGCGCTGTCAAGAGCGCAGCAAAGAAAGCCCCGCTCGCAGCGCGCCTCTCAGGTCCCCCGCCGTCACTCCAAACACAAAGGCCATCCAGGAGAGGTTATTAAAGCAAAACACATCTTCCTCCACTGCTCACGTAGCACAGCGGCTCAAGCAGGTATGGCTTACTGCTTTGGACACCATCCATTATACGGTCTTGGCAGAGAGTCCATACAAATCAAATTCTGTATTCTCATTCATACCAATCTTTTTGACCAAGGTAAATAGCATCTTGAATCTCTGTATTGCATATTTCAAATTCAAAATATTGTCCTGTATTCCATGTGTATTGTGACTCTTTTATCCTAAAACTGAAGACAAGCAAAGTTAGTAGTGTTTGGATATTATTTGTAAACATACTATTGACTCTTGTGTAAAATAGAGCTTTTGATGGTTTTAGGAACGTGAAAAAGAGCTAGCATGTCTCCGTGGCCGATTTGAAAAGGGCAATTTATGGAGTGCAGAAAAAGGCGAAAACTCAAGAAGCAAACAACTAGAAACCAAACAGGTAACGTACATGAGAAAGAAGAGTGAACTTGGTACCAAAGTGGTGCTGGCATCTGGCTGTGGTTCTGTACTGTGAAATAATTCTTCACATGCCTTCCTGTCCCAGTTAACTTCGCCAGTTTCCACTCATGAACTCCTTAAATGTTCATGCCAAGTCTGCTTTTCTCTTGTGATATTTTCCCATTCAGTGGAACTCTTTACCATATCTACTGATGGCCTACTTAAAATCAGATTTTAAAAAATTATTCTCATCATTTCATTGATTTCTGATTCCGTTCAGCATTCTATTTAGATGCTGGTTCTAAAATGTTTCTCAGAATCGACTTTTCTCATTAATGATTGTGTACTTCTTCCCCAAACATCATTCTTTAGATGATCTGTAATCCTTCCAGTGACCAAATACTACCCAGATTTCTCTTTACTTCTGTATTACTTCCTATCCATTTTCGTGAATCAGCCTTCAACAAAATCCCTATTTGTAAATGTAAGCTATATTTTGTTTCATTTACAGACTTACTGTGTACAAAGTGTACTGTATTAGGAGATATTTTTAAGCTAAAAATAATAGAGTTATAGTTAAAGTGGGTACCAATAGAAGAGAACAAGAAATGTAACCAGTATGCTTTGAGAAATACCTACTTGATTGATTTCTTCTATCAATTCTCTTGCTTAACAAATGACGTTTCCTCGATTTCTAATCTCAGCTATTTTTTTTCCCCTTCTCACTTTCCCTGGGACGTCTCTTTCCCATCCTATTACCCAGCTTCAGCCCAGTGCAGAAAGGCTAGTGATGCTCAGCTCTCAGCTCTGGGCACATCTCTCTCCTGAACTCCAGGCCTGGTTGGCCAGTCGAGCCCTCACGCCTGCTGCAGCATCTCCCCCGCGGAGCCTCTGTCTTCCCTCGGGGCTTCACTGTATATCCCGTCACTGAAAACAGTCTGGTAGTTCTTCCTCGACTCCTTCCTCTTATCACTGTGCCTTCCCGTATCCTGGCCCTTAGTGTGTGCACACACACAAATACACACACATCGAGTGGCACATTTTCTAAATCTGTCACACGCTGCCTTGTCCTCTGTGTTTTCCTCTGTCATCGCCTTAAGCACTGACATAGCTTCGTGTGGATTGGACACCCCGCTCCTAGCCTGGCTGCTCTCTGGGGCCTCTTACCCCTGCCGCCAGAGGAGTATTTATAGGACAGTCATTCATGTATTCACTCGCTTAGCGTCCTGAAGCCATCGCCAGAAAACTGTCAGGGGTGCCGGGCTCGACACCTAGAGCCACTCAGACTCTGCCACCTCCCGTGTGTGCCCGTCCCGTTGCGGACACTGTGCAGCTTCTCAAAGGCACCCGTCTTCTCACACCCCCTTGCCTTTGCCGTGCTGGTCTCCTGTGCGGGGTGTCTCCGTGGCCAGCTCCTACTTCCCGAAAATAGGTTGGACTTTAGTCTGTTCCGGGATCCCCACAGGGCCCTTTGCCTAAGGGTCCTCCCTTCTGTTTCAGCCACATCACTGTGCCCACCTCACCTGGAACGTTTGCCTCCCTGTGGCTGGCTGGCTGCCTCCCGCCACTGTCCCTGAGAGCCCCACCAGCCTCTGTGTTGGCCTGGCTCCTAGTCGGAGCCCAGCACATCTGTCTTTGGGGAAGGGACCGCGTGTGCTCCCCTTCCACAGCAGCGCACAACAATTGGCATCTGCCATCTTAAAACCAAACCAACTCTCACTCTCTTGACCTCCCATCCTCTTCTCTTGCTCTGCCTCTTTTTCCTGCAAACTCTTCCAGAAGAGCAGCCTCTACTTGGTGCTTGCAGTTTTTCTCGTATGTCCCTCCACTGTCCACTCCAGGGAGCACCGCCCTCATCAGACGCACCGGTGATCTTCAGGGATCAGTGTTCAGGCGTTGGACTTGCCCTGTTCCAAGCAGCATCTGCCATTGCTGATCACACTTCTGTTGGAAGCCCCTCCTTCATTTGGTTGCCAGTATATCATGGTCTCGTGGTTAAACTACTTCACGCTGAATAATGCATGATAAATCGGGGGAATTCCTCCCCAGATAGTTGCATATACACATGTCATCAGAATCCTGAACACAGTAACAGGGTGCTCGAGGGCCTCCCGGCCGAAAACTCACCTGTGTTCCCCTGGGGGGAGCAGCCGGGGCGGTGGCAAGACTCCGGTTTGCTTCATTTAGTAACATGGAAAAAGGCAAAAATCTATCCTTTTGAGAAGTGAAATTTACCTCTTCATTTGCTTTTTGCAGGAAATTCACTGTCAGAACACTCCCCTCCAAAAACATCAAGTTGTTTCAAATACCACGTCACTTCCAGCCACAGAAGGGGACAGAAAATCGGATGCCAGGGAACCGAAGGAAAAGGAGACAGAAAATCAGACACCAGGAAAAGCTCCCAGTACAGAAGTGACAGGTCAGCGTTTCTTTTTGTTTCCCGTAAAACGCAGCTGTCAGTCGTCTACTGTTTTGGAAATTGGATTGGGAGTCAGAGATGCTGCTCTGGTGCAGAAAGGCAGATGCGTTCCTTCAGTCCCACCCCATTTTCTGTCCTGGCCGTGTGACACGCTTCTTCCTCAGTTCTCTTCTCTTTCCAGAGTGAGAACTCATACCCTTGACGAGACTGTGAACTAGTATGACAGTTTTTTGTTGGTTTTTTTTTTGAGAAAAATTTAGCACTATCTATTGAATTGTAAGGTGTGCATGATCTTTAATTCAGCTTCTCTGCACGTATTTGAGTTGAATTCTTAGAACTAGCATGTGAAGGTGCACTGTGTACAAAGAGATGAACTGCAGCACTGTTTGTTCATTTTAATATGGTTAAAATGACCTAAATGCCCATCAGTGGAAGAGTTGATATAAATGGAGCTAAATCCAGGTAATCAGGTACTATGTAGCTGCTTAAAAGATTATGGTAGCTCTGTATGTAAAGACATTTAGTCTATTATTGACCCTTAGAGACATATTTTTTAATTTTTAGATGGTGGTAAAAAACACAGTACTAAAATGTAACCATCTAAACAGTTATGAAGTGCACGGTTTACTGGTGTTAAGAATATTCACATTGTTGAGGAACAGATCTCCGGAACTTTCTCCTGGGGCACAACTGAAACTCTATACCCATTAAGCAACCAGCTCCCCATTTCCCTGTCTCAACCCCTGGGAACCGCCATTCTGCTCTTGGCGTCTGTGAATTTGACTACCTTAGGGACCTCCTGTAAGTGTGATTATCCAGTAGTTTTCTTTTTGAGGCTCGCTTGTTTAATGTAGCATGGTGTCCTCAAGGCTCATCTGTGTTGTAGCCTGTGATGGATCTTCCTTTTGAGGCAGAACGAGAGTCGGTTGCACACAAGTGCCACATTTGCGTATCCGTCCCTGTGATGGGCTCACGTGGGCTGCCTCCAATGCCTGGCTCTGGCGAAGAGAGTGCTGCTGGGGAGATGGTGTGCAAATACCTCTCTGAGACCCTGTTTTCAATTTTTTTCGACTTTTACTCAGAAGTGGGATTGCGTGATCGTAGAGTAGTTCAATTTATAATATTTTGAGGAACCCTCATACTGTTTTCCCATAGTGTTTGACCATTTTATAATCGTACCAGATGCGTACAAGGGTTCCAATTTCTGCATGCGTTGGCCAGCCCTTGTTAGTTTCTGTTGTTTTGACAGTAGCCATCCTAATGGTGTGAGGTGATACATCATTTGTGATTTTGATTCGCATTTCTCTTAAGATTAGTCATGTTGAGCATCTTTTCATATACTTGTGGGCTATTTGTATATTGTCTCTGGGGAAATGTCTGTTCAAGTTCTTTGCCCATATATTTATAAACAGGTTATTTGAAATTTTTGTTCTTGTAGTTCTCTAAAAGTCTATAAAATTTGCAAATATTTTTTCCCATTCCATAGGGTGCCTTTTCCATTATGTTGACTTTATCCTTTGATGCACGGAAGGTTTTAAGTTGGATGTAGTACCATTTGTCTATTTTTGCTTTTGTGGCCTGTGCTTTTGGTGTCATACTCAAAAAATCATTGCCAAATCCATTGTCATGAAGACTTTTTTCTATGTGTCTTTCTAGAAGTGTTGTAGTTTTAACTTTTGCATTTAGGTCTTTAACCTGTTTTGAGTTAATTTTTGTATAAGGTATCAGATAAGTGCACAACTTCATTCTTTTGCATATGGATATTCAGTTTTTCTAGTATCATTTGTTGAAGAGAATTTTTCTCCTTGAAACATCTTGGAAGCCTTGTCAAAGATCATTTGACCATATATGTGAAGTTTTATTTCTGGGTGCTCTATCCTATTCCACTGGTGTATAGGTCTCTCTTTATGCTAGTGCCATACTGTTTTAATTAGTTTAGTTCTATGGTATGTTTTAAAATCAGGAAATATTGGTCTTCAACATTTTTCTTAGAATTATTATGGATATTCAGGGTCCCTTGAAGTTTCATATGAATTTTATGATGGACTTTTCTATTTCTCCAAAAATGCTCATGGGATTTTGATAGGAATTACATTGACTCTGTAGATTGCTTTGGGTAGTATTGACATCTTAATAATATTATGTCTTCCCATACATGAACACAGGGTATGACAATATTGTTTCCAATACATGGGTGTGGGATATCTTTCCATCTAGCTGTGTCTTCTTTAATGTTTTCCATCCATGTTTCTAGAGTTCATTGTACAAGCCTGTCACTAATGTAAATGGAATTGTTAATTTCCTTTTCAGATTGTTCATTGTTAGTGTATAAAAATGCAACTGGTTTTTGTGTTGATTTTGTATCCTCCATCTTTGCTGAATTTGTTTATATTAGTTCTAACAGTTTTTTGTGGAACATTTGTCATTTTCTATATATATGGTCATGTCATCTGTGAACAGAGATAATTGTACTTTTTGTTTTCAAATTTGAATCCTTTTTATTTCTTGTTTTTTTTTTTGTTTTGTTTTTTTGTTTTTTGCTTCTTGCTCTGACTAGGACTTCCAAAGCTTTGTCGAGTTGTCGAGTAGAAGCAAAGATGGGGATCCTTGTCTTGTTGCCAGTCTTAGAGGAAGAGCTTCTGGTCCTTCACAACTGAGAATCATGTTAGCTGGGTGCTTTTCGTATGTAGGGTAGTTTCCTTCTATTGCTAATTTTTAAGTGTTTCTGTTGACTTTTTTTTAAAAAGTGAAAAACAACTTACCAGACAATATGCAGGTATGATCACCTTCTGGTAACAATAAAAGGTTACACACATACAGATACAGCAGTGGGAGAACTGGGAGAACAAGCGTGGCCTGGTCGCACTGGTGTCCCTGTCTCTTGGTGAGAGAGACGGGAGAGCTAGGAGAGGACAGGTGTTTGGGGGTATTCTCTGTACATGTGTAGGTTTGAGATGCGGTTTTATAATCAGAAAAAAAGATACGTGAGACCCTTTAACCAAAAAAAATCCTGGGTTCTTATATGTATTAATATGGTTTTTCCTAAACCTTTTTTAGGTTTCACTGAATGTGAAATGACGAAGTCCAGCCCTTTGAAAATAACATTGTATTTAGAAGAGGAAAAGTCTTTAAAAGTAACTTCAGACCCAAAGGTTGCACAGCAGAAAGGTTGGTTTTTAGTCTTTATTTCTTATTAACACTGAGCATGTTATAAGGAATAATATAGCGATAGGAGCACGTGATCAACTATACGGTGTTCTGTATTTCTAAATGGCTGGTGATTTTATAGAACGCTCGCTTATAAGCTAAGAAGTACTAAGAAGTACTCCGGCTTCCACAAAGACGGAGCACTGCTGACAGTCACCTTTAGGCCACGGCCCCTGGGACAGTGAGCGCGGCTGTCACGCACCCGTCGTGGGCGGAGCGGGGAGCCTGCCGCGCCTGTGCCGTGAGAGGACGGGGCCTGCAGTCCTTGTGAATCCTGCCCCAGGGGCGCTAACGCTTCCCCATTAGTGGCCGCCGGCTCGAAGGGCCGCTCCAGCCACAGACACAGCTATTTGAGAGGACATTTTTTTTATAAGCATGAAGCTTTTAGCTATTATTCTGAGTTCTTAATAGTCTTTCTTATACTTAAAGCATTGAATCACCTTTTGATAGTTTCTACTTTTATTGCTTTGAAAATGTTACCAGAAATTTGGAAATTATTTTGGTTTCATAGGTTAGTAAATTTCATTATTATTTTTTTATTTGGAAGGTGCTTTTCCCCTGTTTATTTAGTCAGCAGATGAATATTTCATCTTCTCTGCTCTCTGGTTAGTTTTTAAAGGTCTGAATCACACTGTTTGCTTTTTGAAATCTTTTTCAGAAGTGGTACGTGAAATTGAGATGAGCGTGGATGACGATGATATGAATAGTTCAAAAGTAATCAATGACATCTTCAGTGATGTCCTCTTAGAGGAGGGGGAACTTGATGTGGTGAAGAGCCAGGACGAGATGGATCAAGCAGCGGCCGAGAGCAGCGAAGACCAGGAGGACGCGCTGAACATCTCCTCCATGTCTTTGCTGGCTCCGTTAGCCCAGACGGTCGGGGTGGTGAGTCCAGAGGTAAGAAGAGACGGATGGCGAACAGGCTGGGACGTAAAGAAAAGTAGTAGTGGGGTCTCCTTTAGTTTTACTGGGTACTTGGGGATTCCGCACTCTGTAGCCAGGGGGATTCGCATACCTGATGTTAAACCTCTTAAAAGAGAGCTTAAAACTCTTCAGTGGCGTTCTGTTGACCTTAGATAAAATCCAGACGGCCACGGCTTCAAGAGCCTGGCGCTGGGGCCCAAACCCTGGCTCTGCCGTTTCCTGATGTTTACTGGTCCGGTCGTATAACCACAGCTCGCTCGTCTGTTAAATGAGGTTAAAAATAGTACCTATGCCATGGGGCTGATGTGACTATGCAAACACATTAGTATATTGCTATTTAGCACCAGAGAGAGAACTAACATTTATTGAGAACTAAATATATTATTAGCATCACTCTACATTGAGTAACTGCAGCTCTCTTTGGAGATTGATTCAATTAGAAATATTTTTACATTTTTATTTATTGATTTGAGAGAGAGAGAGAGAGAGAAACATCAGGTCATTGTTCCACATATTTATGCATTCATTGGTTGCTTCTTGTATATACTGGGGTCAAACCTGCAACCTTGGCATATTGGGATGATGCTCCAACCAACTGAACCTCCCTGGCCAGGGCCAATTAGAAATATTTTTAAAGAGGGTTATGAGTGTGATTTTTTAGCTGTTTTTCAATTTTTGTTTATTTATTTACATTTTAGGAACTTACTTAGTTTGCCTTGTTTTTATGATAAGTCACTTGACTTATTGGATATTTATTTCCTAATAATAGAGAAGAATTTGTTCAATTCCTTGGAATTATCATTTAGAATCAATGTCACCCATAAAATCTACTACTACCTAATGTGCTTCCCTGCAGAGGTTAGCGTCCTCGCCTAGACTGGAGTTGAAAGACAGTAGTGTAAGTGATGAGAGTCCAAAACCAGGAAAGTTCCAGAGAACCCGTGTCCCCCGGGCAGAGTCTGGTGACAGCATTGGTTCTGAGGATCGAGATCTTCTTTATAGGTAAGAACTTTTGGGAAAGCATTCGCTCTTGAGGGTCATGGTTTAGGTCGATGGACCAAGTTCTATTACTTACACTTACACTGTTATTAGTAATTAACTTGTATAAAACTTGGGAATACCTTTTGTTAGCCTATCTTTCACCCAATGGCATTTCCCATTCTGGTGATGTGTGTGGCTGCTACCTTTCAATATCAATATCAAATTCTGCTGAGATGTTTAATGAAAGAGAGCGCTTAGCGTATGGCTGGGAGTCTAACAGAGCTTAACTGTTTCCCAAAGCATTGATGCATATAGATCTCAGAGGATCAAAGAGATAGACCGGCCTTCAATAAAGCAGGCGATTGTTCGGAAGGAAGATACTACTTCAAAATTGGAGGGGAAAAAGAATGCTGAAGAAAAGAATGTCCTTCCTTGTCAAGTTAACATCAAACAGAAAATGCAGGTTTGGACTTCTGAGCAAGGGGATTTGGAATGTTCCCTCAGGAGCCGGGCTGCTGGAGGACAGGGTCCCAGCCTTGCTCATCTCTGTGCCCTGGACGACCAGAACAGGGTCCGACCCATAGGACCTCCGTGGTCGCTCCTGAATTCAGTTGAATTTGAGGAGGGTCCTCTTTCTTAGAAAAGTGGGAAGCTTGTTTGGTATTGTTGAAATATTTATTTTTGAATACGTTTGTCCTAAATATCCCTAAAGTGTTTACTATAAATTACGTGATGGTGAAATGTGAAATTTATTTTGCTCTTAGAGGTTCTTTTACTTAAGGAAAACATTTTAAAAATTACAACATACATGTAATTTAAATAAAATGAGTCAGATAACCTCTTAATATCGACCCTGTTGGACATAGTCCTAATTATAATTTTAGTAAGCATGAGCTGAAAGTCTTTTCGTAAGGAAGAATGTTTACTTTGTGATTACTGCAGTATGTCAGATGTTTTTGGTGCACGGTCTGGAACTTGAACCGTGAAACTGGAATGTTTTGACTTTCTGGAAATTTTGGAAATTGTTGAATCAGCTGGGTCGTAATTCAAGTGTAAGCAATGTGAAAGCCGGGACTAAAGCCTGAGCTTCCCTCTCCGCCCCTGCTCTCCCCAGGAACTCAACAACGACATCAACCTGCAGCAGACGGTGATCTACCAGGCGAGCCAGGCCCTGAGCTGCTGTGTGGACGAGGAGCACGGCCGGGGTTCCCTGGAGGAAGCCGAGGCCGAGCGGCTGCTGCTCATTGCAAGTGCGTGCGACCGCCCCAGCCAGGCCCCGCCCGGTTGCGAGCCAGGAAAACGCTGACTTGAGAGAAGGGGCCTTTGCTGATAATCTGTCTCAGTCGATCTATTTTTTTTTTTGTTTGTTTGTTTGTTTCTAAAAAAGCCTGTGAATACCCTAGATGTGAAGTGAGATGTAGTTTGCATGAAAGGGTGAAGGGAACTGGAATGCGTTTGAAGGAACGTAGCTGTGAAGAGTATGCAGGAACGGGTCTATGGATATATTTACATGCACACACTCCCTCTCTGTCCCTGCCTCTCTGTGCATTGCTAAAAGAGCGTGTGACCTTTGTTGTATATGTGTGTGTAGGGATGGATGATGGGGCGTGTGAGAGGGGAAAGGCCATACCACAGAAGGGCACTGACCAAAAGTTGAAGCATTAGATGATAAGGACTTGCTAAACAGAGGAACTGTTAAGGTTTCCCCCAGTTATCTACCGCCCGTTTATAGGAAGAAAGTTACTGATTTCGTCGTTGGTCGTACGTGCCACCGCCACAAAGCCTTATCGGTCTCATGTAGGAACAGTTGGATTTTAATATTTGAAATGCTAACTTGCATATTTTTACCTTAGCTGAGAAGAGAGCGCTTTTGATTGATGAGCTGAATAAGCTGAAGAACGAAGGGCCGCAGAGGAAGCACAAGGCTGCTCCCGAAGCCCAGGGCGCGTTCGCCCCGTCCAGGGGGTCAGTTACTTTGTCGGAGATCCGCCTGCCCCTGAAAGCAGACTTTGTCTGCAGCACGGTTCAGAAACCAGGTATGGCGACGTTTTTATTTGCCTGCATCCTGGACCATGTGTTAAATTACGAACCTCACCTGGGCCGGAACTGGGCCAACGGGAGCAGGCAGAGGGCACGAGAAAAGATGCAGATCTTGTCTCCTGGACCTTCAGTTCCTTCTGTGAAGACGTGTGTGTAAAAATCAACAAGGGAAATTTCATGTATGGGCTCACTGATCCACGCAGTCACGGGGCGGCGGCCTCTGCAAGTCAGGCTAGTTAAACGTCATTTTGAACATAAAATATTTTCCTGAGAGGAGTTATCCTGACATAGCAATCAGTCAACTTTCATTAATTAATTTTATTGTGGAAAGTATTTGGGGCCTCAAGAAGAACTTACTTTGCTTACTTTGTTCTGTGTGAAATTCATCCCATTATAGAAATGTGTTCTGTAAATTATGAATTACTGGGTGTGGAAGGGAAGAGCCCCACAGCGGAGATACTGCCATTGAAATTTTAGTCCCTTTGCCCTTCTAGATTGAATGAGTGAACTTTTCTAAACTATGTATTCTCCTAAAAGTCACTTATAAGCAAAGTGGGTAAAGGAGAGCATGGCACCAGGACCTGGAGATAGGACAGGGTAATCATGGCAAGCTTCAGAAAATGCAGTTTTGGATTGTTTGTAAGGTTTCTGTGAATTTTTGTGTGAGGCATTCTCTTTGAGAGAACGGAGGGCTAGACGTAGGTGAGAAGCGAATTTGAGGTGCAGGGAAAGTGAAGAGTGGAGATCTTTAAAAGTTGGAGCATTTCGGTAGGAATGAGGTGACCTGCGCTCCCATTCTTGCTGTTGTCTGAGTCTGGTAGGGTGTGGGCAGGGGTCTCGGTCGGTTAGCATGTACCTTCAGATCTGTGATTATTTAATGACAAATAATTCATGTTTTCATTAGAATTTGTCTCTGAGTAACTTTCATAGAAATGTAGTATTTTAATCCTGATACATATCCTATATATATCCTATATATCCTATATCAGGATATATCCTGATAAAGAGTTTGGGGTCCATAGGTATAATTTGAAGTCAGCAGAAATTGAAGAATGTGGAGAGAAGTCATTTTAATTCACATAATAAGAAGAGACCTTGAGGAAGCTTATTTCAGAATTATGACCATCTGCTTATGTCTTACTTACTTACCTTTTTGTGTCTGAGAAGTTGATTTTAGATATTGTTCAATACATTTTATATCAATCAGTTGCAGTGTTACTTTATTCCTTTGGTTTTCTAGACGCTGCTTATCTAACTCTGCTTTTGCTTGTGCTTATTACGTAATGTGATCATGTCTTGCAGATGCAGCAAATTACTATTTCCTGCTTATACTGAAAGCAGGAGCTGAAAACATGGTGGCCACCCCCTTAGGGAGCGCAGCGAGTTCTCTCAATGGCGACGCTCTGGCATTCCCGACGACGTACGCCCTGTGAGTGCCCGAGGCTCCCCGGTCCGACACGGCTCCTCTTACTGGTTAATACGGCCTGAGCGTACGGGGTTGGTGGGGGGCACTTGCAGCCTCTGATGTGCAGGCTGTCCATTCTTTTCATGTGGACAAACAGCTCACTTTTCAGTTTGTTGGTTTAATTCTTCTGTCTCTGACATTTCCTTTTATTGATAGCATGTTGCTTCCATGTGACTATACGTATTTAATGTTTGGAAATGTTTTTAAAATATGTATGTATGTGCGTGTATAAAACATTGATCATAATTTTTTATGTATGCTTTAAATCTCACAGTGTATTTAATATTCAGTCTCAAGGAAAAGACATTTAGTGTCACAGATTTATTTTGAAACGAGGCAAAATTCAGTTTGAAAAACATTTACTATGGAGGGTCTCATTTTGTAAAATACTAAAGAAAATATGTGACTTGTATTATAGGAAAAAATGGACTGTTCTTACCAAGTTCTCTATTCTTGAGTGATTTATAGCTATTGTCTTCAGTTAAAACAGTGAATTCCTCTATTCTCAGCATCTTGTAAGTGTTTGTGGCATCATCTTGTGACATACTTGGTATTTTTCTTATAGTTTTAATGCTCTGTGTTTTCAGGGAAGATGTGTCCAATGACTTTGAAATAAATATTGAAGTTTACAGCTTGGTAAGCAGTTAAACTTTCTAAAGTAACCACTAGTATATTTTTCTTAGAGATTTCGGGTTTAAGCTAATTATGCTTTGCATTTGTTATAGGTGCAAAAGAAAGATTCCTCGGGGCCTGATAAGAAGAAGAAGACATACAAATCCAAGGTGAGAATGAAAGAAACCCAGTGAAAATACAATAATCAGAAACAATAGATGGCACACCAGTTTCAATCTACGTACAATTTGTAGTGATCACCAAGTGTTTACGCCCCGCATTTCAGTCACCGCCTCTCAAAGGCAGGAGCGTGAGAGTGAGCGTAAGGCGAGGGAGGGGCCTCTCCGGAAGTGTAAGGTCCTCGCAGCTCAGGCTCGACCGTTCTGTCTACGTTGACCTGATGGCTTACTTCTAGTACCTGTTTACTCTTTTCAAGTCACCCTTGGAAACAACTTTTATTTAGCTTTAACAAAGAAGGAATGACAGTAGGGGTAAAGCCTTAATGAAAGACTTAAGTATAATATATTCACATTTAAAAACTATTTTCTAGGTGGGAATATCTCAAGATTGGTTCAAATCGTAATGTTTAATAGGAAGTACACTAAAGTATCTTTTCTTTTAGACTATTACTCCAAAGCGACTTCTCACATCTATAACCACAGTAAGTAGTATTTTTAAAAAATGAAGCTTCCTTGTGAAATCTTCGTGGTACACATATGATTGTAAATTGGTTAACCGTTTCTAAACCCTTAGCACTTTGGAAGTCTTTAAAATACCCTAGTGGGGGGAAAAGTCTCTGATATTTACATAGAACAAAGTTAATGTTTTCTGAAATGTAGTCCTTGCAGTGTTAAAGAGTTTTGTATTTAATATTCAAATCTTTGTATCTAATAAAGAAAATAATTTGTTTCTTCACTCTCTTTTTTAGAAAAGCACCCTTCATTCTTCAGGTGAGTGGATCTTCAACTGCTTGAAACACTAAGGAAAAGAACTGAACAATTGCATATTTATACATACAGTCATCTCGACTTATGAGTGTTCCGCATAGTCTCCTTTGGAAGATATGTTTACCTGATTTTTAGTAACATAGAAGATCAGTGCCACTTCCGCATGCTGTCCAGCTGCCCTTGGCAGATAGCACCTGGGCCACCGGTCAGCATGGGGGCTGCAGCGGGCGGCACACCCGGTGGCCGGCCACTTGGCGGCGGTGGCGCTGCTCTCCACCGCGGCTCTGGTTTGTTCTCTGCTGCCGACACTGTGGAGGCGGCTTCTTTTAACTTTGCTGATCATCACTGGCGTCGGGTCATGTCAGAAACGCATCCTTCTAGGGTAGTGGGGCCTGGGGTGCCAGTGAGCCAGGGAAGCCTTTCCTAGAACGGGTCCAGGCCTCTCTTCCAGAGGGCATTGGGACAGAGCTGGTTTCGCCCCCCTGTTTAGGGCTTTTGTTCTCTTGGTTCCAGAGCGACTGAGAAGCGCGGCGCAGTATAGCCTGTGCTGCTACTTGTGTCAGTGAAGGCTTCGCTTACCTCTCGCAGGGAAATTGCATTTACAGACATATTTTGAGGTTCTGTGTCTTTAAAAACCTCCCTATCCCAAATGTTCAGAGGTGTCTATACTTCACTACAGTTAAATATAAAACATTTAACAGTTTGCTTTTATTGGCATGTTTATGTGTTCCCTCCATGTTAGAGATGGAGGGGAACGAGGCGGTTTTCTCTGTGGCAGTTTCTTTTCGTTCTGTTGGCTGAGGTGAGGAATCGTCATTGGCACTCACAGAGGTCACTCTGAACTAAACCTCGTTTCCTTTTCCTTTAGTTATGGCCAGTCCAGGCGGCCTGAATGCTGTGCGCACCAGCAACTTCATCCTGGTTGGATCTCACACCCTATCACTATCTTCAGTAGGAAACACTAAATTTGCCCTGGACAAGGTAATCCTAATTTATTTATTTTTAGAAAAATTAGGTCGTTGGAAATGCTCCAGTACTTTCAAGAATTTGAAATCTTTGAAAACAGGTGTTCTTAGAACTGTATGTTTTAAGTAGGCATCAGTGTACCTACATGATGTGTGTATGTATTTATATTACTCTCAGGGACACACTTACTGATTTTAGAGAGAGGGGGAGGGAGGGAGGTGGAGAGGGAGAGAAACGTCGACGTGAGAGAGAAGCATTGATTGGTTGCCTCTCATACACGACCCAACCAGGGACCAAATCCACAACCCAGGCATGTTCCCTGACAGGGAATTGAACCCGTGACTTTTTGGTTTACAGGATGATGCTCCAAACGACTGAACCACAATGACCAGGGCTTACATGATATATTTTTGATTGGAAATACTTCTCCCTGTGTCCTAACAGTTAAGTCCTCAAAGTACTGTATGCTGACTTATTCTAAATGTCAGTTCTGACAAAAGAAGAAGTAGTTTTAAAAAAATTTTCAATTACAGTTGACGTACAATGTTATATTAGTTTCAGGTGCACAACAAAGCAATTAGACATTTATATACCTTTCGAAGTGATCACCCCGATGAGTCCAGTCCCCGTCTGATACCGTAAATAGTCATTATAAGATTATTGCCTACATTCCTTGTGCTCCACTTCACATCCCCGTGATTAGTTTATTAACTAGAAGTATTACTTCTTGCACATGGATGTTAAGCTTACAGTTTTAAACAATCATTTGCCCATTTGAAACTGATATTTTGAAAGAGTAGTATTTTATAGATTTACTTTTGACAAGATAGGGAAAGACAGGTTAATTTCTTAGAAAAGTGCCTATGAAACTAAAGTTCTTTCCCATGCTTTCCTCCCCAAGTTTAAAACTTCACCATTCAGATCTGCCGAATATCACTCAGTGCTTTTGCACCATGAAATGATATGACTAAACTTCTAATAACTGACGAGACCATTTTAAGGAGCGAGAGAACTAGAGGCAGACTTTAGTTTTTAGGTTGACTTCTGCTTCGTAATACAGAGGTATTTTAAAATATTGTAAGAGATTGTAGTCAGAATATAGAGATAAAGTTTTAAAAATTGGGAGGTCTGGTTTCTAGTGTTGACCTGCTAGGAATTTCCTCTTTAACATTGAGCAAAGTCATTCATTTCTCTGGGGTCTTAGTGTCCAAGTATAGAATATTAGGTTACGTGAAAACAATATGTCTTTAAAATTCCACAAAACCTTTTTTTAAAAAATGGGTAGACAAAAACCAGGCTGTATTTGAAATTTTGATTATTGTTAATGCGTAAGTGTATTTTTTAACATGTTAATTTAAGAAATTCTTGTGCCTTTTATTTATTTAGTGATTCAGCTAGTTTAACAAACTGAGTGATCCCGGGTCTTTTTTTCTCTTTATCTTTTGTTTGTTTTAGATAAATTATAATGTAAAAGAGCGAGAGCTACTGGGCTATTTGTTCCAGGAAAAGGTTGCCATTTTTTCTTTGCTTGAAACTAACAAGCTTAAAAATAATTTTTTAATTTTTGGCCTGTATGTATTTGTTTTACTAACCACTCTTTGTACCTCCTTGGTTATTTTGAATAATTAAAGACATTATATGCACTATCCTTTCTGTAGTCTCTTGAAGCTGGGCGTCTTTACTTTGTTCTCTGTTATTTTTCATGCATGTTTGGTATTGGTTTTTTGCCTACATCTTTTTTCGTGTTAAAATTCTTTCAGATTCTATAGTCTCTTCAACATTGATTTTTCTGGGTACTAAGATAGAAAAATTAATAACTATACCTAAAAATAAAATTTATTCAATATTGTTTGTTCCCCATATAATGAAAGAACTATTGGTGTTTTAAAGAGAAAACTTTTTTGGTCACAGTTGGCTAATAGGCATTTTGCTGTGTAGATGAGGCTTGTTTATTAATTTTTAAATTAAAATGTGTTTAACATTAAAATTATACTAAATATCATATTTTAGATTTTTTAAAGGGTTTTTAATATCCTTGTGAAGACCAGTTGCAAGCGTTTTGTGGATATATAGAAATGCTAATTTACAAAATGCTGGATGGTATTCTATTATTTTATTTTCTGTTAAAACAAGTTTTGTAAATGGGTTCTGTGAACTGTATTCCTTATTCTCTGTTGTCTGTCAAATTGCCAATTTCTACATTATGTAAGGGATTTCAGTGATACATGGTAAGTGTAGAATGTTTGCTTTTTTGAAAATTTTTTGTCTGTCACTTTAATTCAAAACAGCACAAATTAAAATATTTCTATTCTCAATAATACTTTTGAATTTATAACTTAGATAGCCAACCACATGATTGAGTGCAAAATCATTTAATTCAATTGGCTGTGTTTAATATTCTAAAGTCTCTTTCAGCTTCAAATACAATTAATTTCAATATCAAATTTGTCCTAAAGTTGCTTTTGTGAGTGCCAGAGAGAGAGCATATTATTTGTTCCAATAGCTTGTAGTTGATATAAAAGAATATTAAAAATACTTAAGTTAGATGTCCTTTAAATTAGTGGGAAAAAATGGAAGCTCCTCTATGGTCATAAAATAATTCTATTTAACTTTTGGAGAGTGAACAAGTTTCCCATACCTTCCCAATTGCTATTGGTACCAGAGGGGCAAGTTTGCCTATTTTATGGGTGCCTTGACCAATACTATACAGCAGTTATCCCTGAGACCCCCTCTAGAGTGGAGTTACCTTTGAGCTTCATCCCGACTGTTTGCTCTAAGGGTGCAGGACACCCCTACCAGGAGCTTGCCTCCTGACTGGAGGTTACAGGGATCCGACAAACAGTCTGGCATCCTGGAGTCTAACGATGAATCTCAGTGAGCTGCAGACTCCCAGATGCTTTTTGTTTTCTATGACTAGAGAATCCAAAATGGTCACATGTTTTTTGTTGTTTTTAAATAGTCAACGATTTTAATAAAAACCCTTGAGTAGGTTACGTTAAACGTGTGTGGACGAAGGGAGATGGGCACCCCCCAGCTCGTCTTCGGGCCTCAAGAGAGTGTGCAGGTAGTTCTACTCTCCAGGGAACGGAGACATCCGTTTAAACGGTGTCAGGGCAAACAATGGGCGCTGTAGAATTTGGAGGCTGTAGGAGGAGTGATTAGGTGTTCGGATGAGCACAGAGCTAATCTGGTGTATGCCTTTTGGCCTGGTATAATTTTTGTTAATTGTATTTTTAAATTTTTATTTTCTTTCTTTCTTTCTTTCTTTCTTTCTTTCTTTCTTTCTTTCTTTCTTTCTTTCTTTCTTTCTTTCTTTCTTTCTCTCTCTTTCTTTCTTTCTTTCTTTCTTTCTTTCTTTCTTTCTTTCTTTCTTTCTTTCTTTTTAGAGAGGTAGGTATTTGTATTTATTTATTTACATTATATTTAGAGAGGAAGGTAGGGAGAGAGGGAAAGAAACATCAGTGTGCGGTTGCCTCTTGCATCCCCTATTAGGGACCTGGCCCGCAACCCAGGCACGTGCCCTGACTGGGAATTGAACCAGCGACCTTTAGTTCACAGGCCAGCACTCAGTCCACTGAACCACACCAGACAGGTCTGGCCTGGTACAATTAACAATGTCCCTTCCTCTCTCAGAAATATTCTAGTGTATAAAAAAAATACACAATTAACCTGGTTATAAGTTAACATTTTACAGCTCTTAACAATAATCTTTGAGGTGCAGATATCTTAAAAGACCCTTTTGTTCAACAGAAAACAGAGTAGGATAGTGGATTTTTACAGTTCTCCAAACTCAGCGGGGTGTAGAAACATTGACTCTTTGGTGAATATTCTCAATTCACTTTTTCAGGACAAGCTTCTAACTAAGACTGTTCTCCACTTTCACAGCTGTAAAGTAAGAGGAGACATTTTCTTTTTCTCTTTCAGAGATTCTTTTTACCAGCAGCATTTTTTGAACTAAGCAATAGAATTCTGTTAATTAGCATTGAGAGCCCAGGAAACTTAAACCTGACTAAATGGAAAAGAAAAGGCAAGAGAATTTATAACAAATACAATAATGAAACGTGGTGTTTTAATTCTACATTACGGATCCTTTTTCAATTTAGAAACTTCAGGATTTGTCTAATGGAATTAATCCATTGAAAACTATACTTTTTGGCCAAGAGAAGATTAAATTGTTGGAAACTAACCTTACAATAAAAACTAAAATTTAGAGTGTACTAAGATTTTTCCAACTAGACTATCATTCTATTGGACAGCAGGAATGGCAGACGATAATATCATTTTTTAAAATTGATTTCAGAGAGAGGAAAGGAGAGAGAGAGAAACATTGATTTGATGTTCCACTTATTGAAGCATTCATTGGTTGATTCTTGTATGTGCCCTGACTGGTGATCAATCCCAAAACCTTGGTGTATCAGGACACTGCTCTTACCAACTGAACTTCCTGGCCAGGGCCAACATCTTTCTTTCTTGACCCAGAAGTCAATATCACTTTATCTTTTTATATATATTTATATACGGTACCATTTTACTCTAATGACTCAACATCTCCAATTGAAATTTTCCTTTTAGATTTTATTTATTTATTTTTAGAGAGGGGAAGGGAGGGAGAAAGAGAGGGAGAGAACCATCAGTGTGTGGTTGTCTCTTGCGCGCCCCCAAATGGGGACCTGGCCCACAACCCAGGCACGTGCCCTGACTGGGAATTCACCCGGTGACCCTTTGGTTTGCAGGCCATCCCTCAATCCACTGAGCCATGCCAGCCAGGGCTCCAGTTGAAGTTTTTTATGTTTCTTGTAATCTGTAATTTAAATTTGAAATCTTTTAAAATTTTCCCATATACTTAAGCAGCTTTTATAATATAAGATACTTTTGACATGAGGTGTCTCTACTAACTAGTAATATGTTGAGAAGAATGATTTATTTAAAGATATTTCTTATGTGAATGTTTATTTTTAAAAAATTTATTAAATTTATTGTGGTAACATTGGTCAATAACATTATGTAGATTTCAGGTATACAACTCTATACTATGACATCTATGTACTCTATTGTGTCAGTGTTTTTAGTGCTAAATAGACAGGATGATTTTATCTGGGTGGGGAAAAATCATTCCCCCAATCTTCCAAGTAGTGGGAACAACAGAGTCTCAGTTTAGGCACTTAATTTTTGTTTTGTCAATTTATGCTTCCTGTATTTTAAAGCTATGCTAGTAGGTGCATGACCATTTAAGATTATTATATCTTCATAATGATTTGTCACTTTATCTCTGATAATCTTTTTTATCTTAAAGCCTATGTTTTCTGGTATTAATAGCTACAACAGCTTTCTTATGATTGGTGTTGTATGTTTATATTTTTTCCATTCTTTATTCTCAACATATCTGTGTCCATCTATGTCACATTTGTGTATAAACATTTTATGGTCATATTTTGTTATTTGGTCTGACAGTCTTTTATCTTTTCATTGGAGTGTTTAGTCCATTTATATTTAATACAGTGCTAATACGGTTGGGCTCAGCCTACCGCAAGACCAGGCAAACTTAGAGCCTACAGGTTAAATCTGGCTCATGGCCTGTTTTGTTTTGTTTTTTAAATTGCTCCTGGCAACCACTAGTCCACTTTCTGCTTCTCTGAGTTTGGTTACTTTAGATACCTCATGTCAGTGGAAACATGCACTATTCCTTCTGTGACTGGCTTTTTTCTCTTAGCATAATGTCTTCAAGTCTCATCCATGCTGTAGTGTCTGATAGAATTTCTTTTTTTATGGCTAAATAATATTCCATTCATTAAATAAATATGTATATACCATATTTATTTTTTCTTTTTTTCAATAGAAGAACTCTGGGTACTTATTTGCCCAAATAGTATTCTTTTAGCAAACATGTATTGAACTCCTAGCTATGATTTAGCAGTAGGATGTGGGAACAAACACGAGGAAGACACAAGAGTTGACCTCAAGCATCTGCTGCACACAGGTGTGGGCTGTGGGTTAGGATGACTGAGAAAACATACGAAGCGCAGTTTCAAAGCCTGAAGGACAAACTTTGCACGGTGAGACGAGCAGCATCTCAGAGCCCAGGGAGCGTTTCGTACCCAGAAGCGGGGAGAAAGGAGACTCTGCCACATTTCCTGTGTCTGTCCATCTGCTGATGGGCACTTAGGTTGTTCCTCCCTCTTGGGTATTATGAAGGATGCTACACCGAACCTGGGAGAGCAAGTTTCCCTTTCAGAACCTGATTTCAATTATTTTGGATTAATTCCCAGAAGTGGGATTGTTGGATTATATGGTGGTTCTATGTTTAATTTTTTGAGGTATCTACATAGTGAAAAGTTTTTAATTTTGATGAAGCTTGATTTATCAATTTTTTGTTTTGCTGCCAATGCTTTTGGTATTATATCTGAAATCCAGTGCCAAATCCATGATCATTGAAGATTTACCTTTATGTTTTCTTCTAAGAGGTTTATGGTTTTAGCTCTCATAGGTAGGCCATATTTGTTTTGAGTTAATTTTTGTATATGATTTGAGGTAGGGATCCAACTTGATTCTTTTTGTAGATGTTCAGTTTCCCAGCACCATGTGTTGAAAAGATTGCTCTTTCTTTATTGAATGGTCTTGGTACCCTGTTGAAAATCAATTGGTCATAGATTGTATGGGTTTATTTCTGAACTTTCAATTCTTTTCTTTTGGTCTGTATGTCTGTTCTCATGCCAGTGCCACACTGTTTTGCTTATGGTAGCTTTGGATTAAGCTTTGAAATTGGGAAATATGGTTCTTCCAGCTTTGTTTTTCTTTTTTGAGATTGTTTTGATTGCTCGGGGCCTCTTTCAATTTCATATAAATTTGAGGATCAACTTACTAACTCTGCAGTTCACTGTTATTTATTGCTGAGTAATATTTTATTTTTTAAAATATTTTATTTATTTTTAGAGAGAAGGGAAGGGAGGGAGAAAGAGAGGAAGAAAAACATCGCTTGTGAGAGAAACATTGATCCGTTGTCTCTCACATGCCCCCCTGCACTGGGGACCTGGCCTGCAACCCAGGCACACGGGAATCGAACTGGTGAACTTTCAGTTGGCAGTACGATACTCAACCCACTGAGCTATGCCTGTCAGGGGCAGAGTACCATTTTATTGTATTAATATACCAGTTGGTTTATCCAGTCTCCTATTGACTATATGCTATTGATGGAGAATGGATAAGCACTTATATATAGTCTCTTCTTAAATCTGTGTTTTCTTTATCACATTAACTGGGGCTTGGGGTTTTATTTTTTATCAGTTTTAACTTGAATGGATTTATTCTTTAAAAGTGTTTATTGCTGAAGAACCAGGGGCTTTTTGGCCACTTCACATTTTTCGCTTTAGAAAGTAGTATGTTTCCAAGGCATAATAGTCCCTATTCATGACTTATACATATCTTATCAAGAAGAATCACAGTTTGAAACTCTCTTGCAAATAATTTACTGTCTCTCTTTGCAGGTGCCCTTTTTATCTCCTTTGGAAGGTCATATTTATTTACAAATAAAATGTCAAGTGAATTCAAGTGTTGAAGAAAGAGGTTTTCTAGTAAGTAATCAATATGTATTTTCCTTTTGCTGTCCTGTGGATGTAGACTTGACTTCCTGTAGGAAGGAAAGCCTGTCTGAGTAGGTGGTAAATGGAGTCGGTAAGGACGTGTTGTGTGCCTGCTCCCTGCCAGTCCCCGTGCTGGCGCTGGAACGTAACAGGCCACAGAGTAACCCCCCTGCTCAGGAGCTTTCCGTTTGGTTTGGTGGGGCGGGGACGCACGAACAGGTAAGCACGACCCAGCGCTGGGAAAGGAGGAAGCTTAGAGTGTGCGCTTGTCGTAGACGGGCGGGGTGTCGGCTCTTGAGTGTGAGTAGGAGGCTTGGGGAACGCTGCTGGAAGAAGCACCTGTACAGGCCAAGAAGGTTAGGCAGAGGGAAGGCACCCCAGAGGAAGGGCGGGGACTGTGCTGGGGCCCAGGGCCCACCCCCCACCCACCACCCCCCAGAGAAGAGGGCTCCCCACTGGCATAGAGGCCCGTGGTTCAGAGGAGCTGGAGTGCGGTGCGAGTGTGGGCGGAGGCATAGCGAGAACTGTGATGGCAGGGGGAGCGGGGCCCACCGTCAGAGGGGCTTTTAAAGAATCTGGACTTTATCCTGAAGCCCGAAGTGGGGGACTCTAGTCGGACTTTCAGCAAAGGAGTGCAAATTTGGTGTTTTGAAACGCCCTCCTGGCTGACATGTGGAAAGCAGATTGGAGGGGCGACCCTGAAAGATGTCCTGGAGACTGAGTTCTCCCTGAGAGCGGTGACGGGGACGGCAGCCGGGATGGAGGAGGGGGAGGGGGAGGGGGAGGGGGAGGGGGGAGGGGGAAGGGCAGCCCCCTGCTGTTTGGCTCTGCGGGGGGTGGAGGAGGAGAAGCAGAGCCGGGATCCGGATGACAGACCATCTGTCTTTCTCCTTCAACGGTTCTCACTGCTGTGGCTTGATTGTATGTCCGCGACCTAGCCATCCCTCTGCTGTGGCTGAGAGTAACATGTTTGGCGGGGAGAATTTCAAAGTATATCATAGACATTAGCATGTTCCCTGAAATCTTAGGTGTCTGTCTCCTGAGTTTTGACACATGCATATATCTGTGTACCCCAAGTTTTAATTAAGATAGAAAACAGTAGCCCAGAAAGTACCCTCGTGCCCCTTGCCAATTCATCCCTACCCGGGGTGTCACATTTTAATGGGTTAAGTTTGAAACGATTTGAACTTTAGGTGCCTAGAGACATGTTTCAAAGATCAGGGTTTGGAGCTCAAGACAGGTTTTCAGTTGTGATGAGACTTGGGAATCTACAGCATGGAGACCGTCATTTCAGTGCAGGGGCCGTAGAGTGGGGCCGAGCCGGGGGGACCCAAAAGCTGGGCACAGACCCAGGGCGACAAGCCCCAAAGGGCAGCTACAGGGGCGCAGGAAGGAGTCTGCGTCAGCTGCCAGGGCAGGGAGGGCCTGAGCGTGAGCTGGAAGGAAGGGTCTGTCGCTGACCACGGTGCCTATTTACCGGGTTGCGGGGCGGGGAGAGGGGGGCGCTCCAGCTCAGCCAGGGCAGCAGCTAAGTTGCTGGCGGTTGTCGAGCGAGTGGGGATGAGGGAAGAGTGCGAGCGACTCTTTGGAACAAAGCTTGGCTGCAAAGAGGGAAGTAGGGCATGGTGCTTGACAGGGTCTGGAGGGCGGAATAGGGATTTCGTTGACATCTTACCGGTTTCGGACAGACCCGAGTCTTCAGGTACAAGGGGGTGGCTTTCAGAGGTCCCACGAGGCTGAAGACTGGTCAGTGGGAATAAACTCTGGGGCAGTGAGTGAGTGAGAAGAAGTCAGACCCAGGCCGCATTTCGTGCTCGCGGGATGGGTATTGTCTAGAATGACACTTTTCCGTCACCAGAGGGGAAACGTGTGTGAACACGTGGACGAGTGTGGTGCGGCGCAAGGGGTGGAGAGCATGCTTCAGTTCTCTCTGTGCAGCGAGAATTCAAGTGAGACGAATCACAGGCCGTCGCTGTGACAGGTGCGGGAGGAAGGGCGAGGTTGCTCGGCTCGCCCATGGGGCCCTGGGGGCCTTGACCCAGGCTGCCTTGTCAGTGTTTCGCGCATATAAATCCAGCAGGTGGCACTAGAGATCCTTGGAAAAGCATTTTTATAAATTTCGGCGTTGAAGGCAGTGTTTACTTACTGACTTTTAATGTAAATATTTTCATATTTTATTGGAGACACATTTGGCAACTGATCGACTCTGGCAGCTGGTTTATTTGCATATAATATCTGAGCCACCTGATCTGAGCTGGGCTCTTAACTGGTGTGTTGCATCTCTTCATGCTTTTCCTCTCTCACAGAAATGTGGTAATAAAGGGACTCTCTCAGATAACGTCTGTCCCCGTCTAATCAATGCATTTTCATGACCCCTGCCCTCTCCGAAGACTAGACGTGGTAGCTGAAATTTAAGTTGCTCAGTTTCCCTTCCTGCTGGCCGTCAGGAGGGAGATGACCAACCGAGGAACCTTGTTAGTGGGCCGGCTCCGTCTAGGCTGAGGGGCAGTGAGGGAAGGGCCTCCCGCATCGCCTGGAAGGTTCCATCTCTGCCTTGTGATTGTGTGTTGTTATTTAATTTTCTTGGCCCTCAGTTTCCTTGGCTGACCTCTTGTTATGCCTGGTTAAACCCCAAGAAGTGTTGGGGTTTGGTGTAAGGCTTTGCTGAGCCGTTTGTAGGTGGAAAATTCCTAATGCATTTTGAAGTCAAACACAAAGATGCCTTTGGGTTATTGGTATCAGGGGTCAGCAGAGCAGGCCCACTGTTCGTGTTTATAAGGTTTTAGTGGCTCATGGGCGCCTTCGTCCCCACCCAAATGGGATGGTCCTGGCGGAGCCTGGATGCCACGGAGTCCAAACCAAAGGAATTCTTTTTAAGTTAAAACTAAGGACTTACATAAATTAGGGCTCCATTACCATGACAACTAAACAATAGCGGGGGTGGGGGAGCAGCTTCTACTCAGTCTGCTGAAGTGGAGGCGCTTGCGGGGGGACCCCGCATGTTACCAGCGCCCCACGCCAGAGCCCTGCCCTTAACCGGTGGGCCGCCTCACTGCCTCTAGGAGGGAGCTGGCGGGAGCTGGCCAGCACCCAGCTGTAGGGAACGGCTGCGTCTCGGGCCTGTCGGATGTGCATCACAGCAGCCTGTGAAGGCGTGTGGTTGTGAGTTGACTCTTTTCTAGTCCTGTTTTGTTCTCCTGAATACAAATTAAATGCCATTCTTTTGTATGGAGTCTAAGCGATAAGCTCTCATTAGCTTTTTTCCAATATATAAGGCATGCTATTCTCAAATCATTTTCCTCTCCAACACTTTTCTTACTCACTTTTCCTGTATGTAAGGATCATTTGGTTAGGGATACTCTGCTTTTAAAAAGTCTAACCTTAAGTAGAGCTGTGCATTTGGGGTTAAGACGTGAACGTTTTTAAATGATGCTGAGAACCTGGGTAAATTTCTGGGAGTGAGCCATCGGTGGTTTCCATTACTCAGGTAAAAGATATATGAAAAGTAGCGCACACAGATTGTGAAGTATCAAATGTTTCAACACGTTGACGTTTAACCAATGGAAATGAACATTCACTTGATGCTGAAGTTTCTAAAGTCAGTATTTCATTTACTTTTTCAGACCATATTCGAAGATGTTAGTGGTTTTGGTGCCTGGCATCGAAGATGGTGTATTCTCTCTGGAAACTGTATCTCCTATTGGACTTACCCAGATGATGAGAAACGAAAGGTAAAGTTAAGAGTGCTGGTCGGTGGAGATGCCCCAGCCGACGCGCACGTAGCGTGAGTGCAGGCCGCCCGCCCAGATTCCCCTCACCCTCGAGTGCCTCTGCTAAGCCATTGAGAATGGTCTTGTTGCAAGACGCGTGTGTGTGTGTGTGTGTGTGTGTGTGTAAAAATTTTATATTTTATCCATCCCCTGTGATTTGGACAAAATGCCTTAAGGCATATGTTTGTCTTTCTTTCCTGCTAGACTGTTTCATAATAATTTACTTTTGTATTATTGTAACCATGTAAAACTTCATTTAAAATGTATTGTGAAATACCTAGGACGTTCAGAAAGACATGCAGCACACGTGATGGCCAGCGGCCTCTGTGGTTTCAGCCCCGGTGCAGCGCCCATGTAACATTCTCTCCCTTACAGTGTTAACCCCAACCCTGAGATTTCGTACCTACTTATTTAATTTTTTGTTACATTTGTGTATATATATATATGTGTATATATCTATCTATCTAAGCAATATGTGACTGCAATTGCATTGTTTTAAGCTTTAGACAATTAACGTCCACTGTTTGCTGGCGCCCTGTGGCCTGTGAGATTGATTAGGCGGGGTGATGGGTGGAGCCCCAGTTTGCGCAGCTGCGGCCCTTCCGCTGAACTAAGGTGTCTGCCCTGCGAGCGCATTGCGGGCCGTTCATCTCTTCTCCCCTCTGTGGACTCTTTGATAGCCTCCACACCGCTGCTGCGGCAGACAGGGCCGCCGTGGCTTGCTCTGTGGATATCTACATGGATAGAGCTCTTCCTTGAGTTTGTACCTCGTGGCCGATTGGCCGGGTGGTAGGCTTTGCGCATCCTCAGTAGCTAGATTTTGTCACGTGATTCTTGAACGCGGCGGTACAGTGCTCTGTGCCCATCAGGACAGTTCTCAGTGTCCACATCCCCGCCAGTACTGGGCACGTCCGCCTTTTAAACCTTCGTCAGTGTCACGGGTATGGACTGTTCTAATTTCCTATTTTTCTCGGTTAAGCATTAAGAGGAAGCATCTTTTCTTGTGTGTGTTTGGCCATTTATATTTTCTATGAATTGATTAGCTATCTATTTTATCCATTTATGGTGCATTGCAGTTGTTTTTTGTTTCTCTCATATTTTGCTTGGCATGTATTTTAATTTATGTTTATAGTATCTTTTTGCAAACAGAATTTTTTAATGCTAAGATAATCAAATCTGTCGATTTATTGCTTTGTTGTTTGCTTTTCAGTTTTATTTAAGAAAACGATCCCTACTCTATAGTCATAAAGATATTCTGCTATCCCTCCTCCTAAAAGCTGAAAGGTTTTGTATTTCACATTTAATTTACCTGGAATTGACTTTAACCCCCATCTCAAAACGCAGTTGTGCTAGCACCGTAGAATGGTTTATCCTCCCCCACAACCCCTCCCCCGTGCCATGGCCGTCCCGCGCCCTCCCCCACCACGCCACGCGCCAGGGCCGTCCCACGCCCTCCCCCACCGCCCCATGCGCCACGGCCGTCCTGCGCCCTCCCCCACCGCGCCACGCGCCACGGCCGTCCCGCGCCCTCCCCCACCGCCCCATGCGCCATGGAGGCCCTGCGCCCTCCCCCACCGCGCCATGTGCCACGGCCGTCCTGCGCCCTCCCCCACCGCCCCATGCGCCACGGAGGTCCTGAGCCCTCCCTCACCGTGGCACACGCCACGGCCGTCCCGCGCCCTCCCCCACCGCGCCACCCGCCACGGCGTCCCGCGCCCTCCCCCACCGCCCCACACGCCACGGCCGGCCTGTGTCAAGGCGTCATGACACGTATAGGTCTGTAGTTAGGTGTTTGGTTCTGTTTTCTTTGGCCTGTGTATCTGTCTCAATTACCATTGCTTTAAAATTTTGATGTCTCATAAGCCAGTCCCCTAACTTGTTTTTTATTCAATACTACATCGCTTACTCTGGGCCCTTTTTACACACACGTGCACACACAGAGATAGAAATATGTGTGCCTATATATTTAACCTTTATCATTGAACATGTTCAGATGTACACAAAACAAAGAAATGGTATAATGAACTCCTAGTTTCAACAGTTATTAATTTTTATGTTTCACTTATCTCTGCACAACACACACACTTTTTTGTTCTTGTTTGCTGGGGTATTGAAAACAAATGCCAGATTTCGTGTTTTATCATTTCACTGTGCGAGCCAGGCTGCTGGCTCTTTGTCTTGGTAGATGCCCTGGGGAAGCCAGCTTTCAGGCTGGCCTGCCCTCTGCATACTCTCCTCCTCATTGATTTTGGCCTTTGAAGGTGTCTTTTACTTCCTTGTGAGTTCAGTCATCTAACATTTGAGGGGTTGGGTAGTGGGAGAACTTCCGCATTAGTTAGTTGGCTATACTTGCTGGAGATTATATGGTTTGTTTAAATAGTCCCCTATTACTGTCATTTAGTTTAAAATTTTTCACTATTATAAATAAATATACCTATATAAATACACTTATATAAATATCTGCACCTATTTTTTTTGTTTAGTGTAAATTTCTTTTACGTAGAACTACAGGTTCAGAATATGCCCATTGAATGATTTTTGATTGCTGCTGTCAGATTGCCCACCGGTAACGGGCCGTCTTATATTTCCGACAGCCGTGTGTGGGAGTTTGTTGCTCACCCCCGAGCCAAGGAACAGAGGTCACTACTGTTCTTCTCAGAGTTAGCAGCTCTAATGTTCTCAAATGGCACATTTCATTGTAATTTCTTTTTTAAGTTACCAACAGAGTGGCCCCTGTTATAACCTGTCTGTGCCCATATGTCCCTTCCCCTTTCAGGACCCCTTGGTCTCCTGAGCTTCCCCCTGGGACCCTCAGAGGAGGGCCGCGGCCCCCAGCAGCTGGCCGGAGCCGTGGCTCGGCCTCATTTGCTGGAGACACAGGGGAGATGTTTAATGAAGAAATAACGCGTCTGCGCTTCCATTTGCAGAAGGGGGCGCTGAAGGGCTGTAGACAGGGTGGGTGGGGTGTGTTTCTCATTGTTAAAGCTGGTGGGTGGTGTGTGCGACTTTGTGACACTTTTTTTTAAGTTTCTATCTGTTTGAAGTTGTCCCTAATAGAGTTTATTTTTTGAGTTGACTAAGAGCTCCAGTTGACAAATATTTCAGTTTTTATTCTTATGTCCATTTATGGTTTTTATTATTAAGAAGCGTTACAGAGGGTGGGACAAAAGTAGGTTTACAGTTGTGAGTCTGTGAAACACAGTTTATTCTTGTGTTACCATTATTAATTGTATTATTTTCCATACGAACAACTGTAAAACTACTTTTGCCCCATCCTGTATGTTACTTATGTTTGTCTCACCTAGTGTAATTAAATTTTAAATGAATAGCTTTTTAAGTTTATACAAACTTAAATACTGCTTAATGCTTACTGACTTAAATGGTCTTATTTTCTATTAATAATCTATTAAAAATTTTGTCTTTTAAGAACCCCATAGGAAGGATAAACCTGGCCAATTGTACCAGTCGTCAGATAGAACCGGCCAACAGAGAATTTTGTGCAAGACGCAACACTTTTGAATTAATTACTGTCCGACCACAAAGAGAGGATGACCGAGAGACGCTTGTCAGCCAATGCAGGGATACACTCTGTGTCACCAAGTACGTATTGGGCTGTGAACAGTTCTGTCAATGAAGTAATTAATTGCCCACCAGGTTCTTACCAGTGTACGAAATATCAGAGACGGTCCTTGTCTTTAAAGAGTGTACACTCTGAATGAGGAAGCAAAACACACGAACTGTCAGTGAGGGAACAGTTGAATAATGAAATTAGGGTCGTTAAGAAGAGCGTAACATTCACATTACATCTTCGCTAATCGTGTTTTCAGGGTGCTCCCTGTGCGGCCGTGTGCACGGCGGTGAGCTAAACGCTTGGGTTAAGGTAGAAGATTTCATGTATGACTGAGAAGTCAAGTATTATTTAAAGAGACTGCACATCCCTTCCTTCTCATTCCAAAATACCCCTGATGAATCAGGTGACTCTTGCTGGTTGGAGAGTAACAGCGTGAACTCTTGGGAGTGTCCCTTTTTGTTAACCTGAAGCTTAAGTTTCAGATGCAAAGCTTACTGTTAAGAGTCTTAAGATTCTTTTGCTTTGATGCCCAAGAGAAGCTTAGAGACCAATTTCAATGTAAAAGTTGTGACTAGGGACAAATGTTTGAACTTGATACAGTCTCTGTGAATGAGGCTGCTGGTGGGCCTTGCAGGCAAGGGGTGGATAGAACTGGCTCTGTGAGTTTCTGCTGTGGAAACATCAGAAAGCTACAGCCAGGAGACACTGTATGTATTCAGTGGAGCCACGTTGCCCAGATACTGCGTTTGTTTTAAAATAGCCAGGCAGCGGGCCTGTTCTCTGGGAATTCTAGATGTCTGGATTACGTCAGATTAATTCAGTTGAACTCCTCCCCTGCTCTCTTCTGGGGGCCTTGGTCCAGCAGTGGCATCAGACAGGACAGTGGGGGCGCAGTGGATTCACAGTCATTTTGTTTGTCCAGGGCCACAGCCAGCAGAGGAACCAACCAAACTTCAATGCAAGTGGTTCCTGACCATCAGGCCCATTTTAATTTAACCCTTTTAAATAGTACATTGTTCGTATAGGCTTAGCTTTTCTGTGCTAGCAAGCCTTCCCAGACTCGTCCTTGACTGTCTCCTGTGGTAGAAGTAGCTGGGTCCCATGTTGCGCTGATCCCTCTGTACTTCATTGCCTGCCGTCTTTCCCGCTGTAACATTATGGTGATGCGGGTGGACGCTTCTTTATCCAGGCGTTTGAGACTGGTGCATTCTCATTCTGTCTTGGCTGAGTGTCTCGCTTTGCTTGGTGGCTTCTCAATACTGTGTCGATCCTATATTTTGTGAAATGCAAACATTTTACAGTTCTGCGTTCTCCTCTGCCTCACTTGTCTGTTTCCACACAGGGCCTTTTATCTAAATTCAATGCACCTCATTTTTGTTCCTACTAACCAACCTACCTATCTTCCCCTCCTTTGGTACAAAAGCTTTCTCTTCTGATTAGTCTTGACTGCTTCCCACTGTAGCCCACACATGTGAACTAGAGACGCTTTACCACGTGGAGGGCTGTGGTATTCAGTGGAGCCTTGAGGTGGACAGAGTTCGGTTTAACTCCTGACTCTGACTTGCCACGTGTAACCACGGCAAGTTCATTTTGCTGGCCCTCTGACTTTGCCCGTGTGAAAGGGGAAAAGTGCTCTCCACAGCGTGACGGTAGAGATGAAGGCGTAGACACACTTAGCACAGAGTCCAGAAGTGCACGGAGTGAACTCTGCAAATGGTCGCTATTGTTATTGTCAGCGTTGTATTCTTCACTGACTGACAGGTGGCCCCTGGGTGCTTACTCGCGCCTGTGGCCTCCCTGTTACCAGTGGGGAGGAGTTTAGAGAGGCTGCATGAGTCCAATGCAAAAACCTACCAACTGCCTGTCCCTGAGAAGAATGGCCTTGCTTCTGAGTTAGGGAGCGCCCCCTCCCCCACCCTCACCTGCCCTGTCAACTTGTCGTTCAACTTGCAACCAAATACGGCTGCAAAGACGAGACCGCTGAAATGGCCAGAGAGGTCAGGATGGACAAGGTCTTGGGATCCTTAGATCATTTGTTGTAAACAGCATGTTCTGCTGACACCGTGGCCCAGAAGTAATGGCAGACGGTAGAGACCAGCGTCACCGGTGAAGCCAGGCGAAGGCCCGCTCGTGCCAGCGCTGGCCAGGAAGGAGTCCGCACTCAGGGTGGCCCACACCCAGGCCAGACCACCCTTGCAAGACAGTGACCCCATTGGGTGTAGAAACGCCCTCGTTTACCAAGTGTCTTCAGTGTGAGTTAGGATTCAGCTAACCACCCAGCAGGGTAACTTTAGAATTGTAATTGAAGAGGCGTCTCCCTGTGGGGCTTCCAGGGAGCACCCGTTAAAAAAGGGTAAAGAGTAATTCATTTTACACATTTGTTTGGGCTTTTCCCCCAGCAGGAGTGTGGGGAGGTGCAGACTGGGCCGGGGGATCCTGAGCGCTTGTGTTTGTCCCTGTAGGCACTGGCTGTCCGCAGACACCAAGGAAGAGCGGGACCTCTGGATGCAGAAGCTCAATCAAGCGCTTGTCGACATTCGCCTCTGGCAGCCTGACGCCTGCTACAAGCCTATCGGGAAGCCCTAAACGGGGGCAGTTTCTGCCCCACTAAGTGTTTTTGAGCTATGTCATCCATGTATCTTAGGAGCATCAGACATGGTGATTGCATTTTTTGCTTTAAAAACAAAAGGGGATGTGCCAATATTCACTACATATTATGCAGTATTTATGTCTTTTGTATGTAAAACTTCAGCTATTTGTCTTGTCATTCGTAAATAATTGGAGGAAAATTCATTATAGTTGATTTTACTAAATCTCAATTTAAAAGTCTCATTTTCCTGTAAGTCTAATTATTCAGTTATAATAATTTTATTTTTTAAGTAAGAAATTTTAAGTTGTTGTCTTGGTTCTGTGGGTCTCAAAGTAGAGAGTCTTCCAGGGGTTAGAGGTCATCTGTTCCGTGGCCTCAGTACTTCCTTGTTTAGGTTGTGGTCCTTGATTGGGTACCTTGTTATTAGAGACTGAAAAAAAAAGTCTAAGAGACTTTACAGACACGTGTTTTGCAATTGTGGTAGGCACTTTTTCAAATGACACATGCACACTAGTGTATAGCTTGAGGCTTCAAACAGGAGATGTGACTTAGAGGGTAATGCGTAAGATTTGGGGGTTCAGTGTTTTATTTAGAAGACTTAATCATATGGTTTACATTGTCTCAGTTATTTTAGAGGCTGTGTGGTACACATTTTCATAGAATATAGGCTTTTAGAAGTAATTATTTTTGTTATATATCTTACAGACTCAAAGATACTTGGCACATTAGGGTTTTTTTTTGTTCCTGTAACAAGAACAAATGTAAATTGAAGAATTTTTATGTAAAAAAGTACACTTTACAAGCTGCTGTGGACTAACCCTTGGCTTGCCAAAGCTCTTGACTTTTTTACTTTTCACGTCCACATAGGACAGTATCTAGGAATCTGTTACGAAATCATTTTTAAAACTATTAAGTAATGCTATTTCCTTAAAAGCCTAACACTATTCTTTATTTTTTTGTTATACAATATTGTAAAGCATGGTCTCAGACTTCTAAGTACACTTTGAATTTCTTTGAATTGTTAAAGTTATCTCATTTATAAACACTAAATTCCGTCACTTCCTGTCATTTTATCTTTTATTCTTTTAAATGTATTTTTCTTATGTGTATTATAAAAATGTATTTTGTGATCTCTTACCTAAATAAATACTTGCAAATGGCTTATAGAATCAGTTATTTAAGAAATCTTATTGGAAATCTATTTGAAAAAATAATGAAAGAAAATGTCCCTAATTTGGTCAAGGAAATAGACATGGAAGTTCAGGAAGCACAGAGTCGCACAAACAAGATGGATGCAAAGAGGCCCATTCCAAGACACATGATTCAAGTGCCAAAGGTTAAAGATAAAGAGAGATCCTTAAAAGCAGCAAGAGAAAGGCAGTTACTTCCCATAAGACTGTCAGCTGAATTCTCAAAAGACACTGCAGGCTGGAAGGGACTGGCAAGAAATATTCCGAGTCATGAAAAGCAGGGACCTACAGCAAAGATTGCTCTACCCAGCAAAGCTATCATTTAGAATTCAAGAGCAGATAAAGGGCTTTCCAGACAAGAAAAAGCTAAAGGGGTTCATTTTCACCAAACCATTATTATATGAATTGTTAAAGGGACTTACTTAAGAAAAAGATCAAAACTATGAACAATAAAATGACAATGAATACATACCTATCAAAATTGAATCAAAACTAAGCAAACAAAAAGAACAGAGACAGAATCATGGCTACAGAGAGCATTTCGATGGTTGCCAGTTGGGCGGGGGTTTGAGGAAACGGGTGGAGAGGGGATTAAGAAGTACAAATAGGTCATTACAGAATAGCCATGGGGATGTAAAGTACAGTACAGGAAATGGAGTAGCTGAAAACCGCATGCCCCACGGACATGACCAATGGCGGGGGAGGGGGGGGGATGGCCTGAGGGAGTGGGCGGTGTTGGGTGGAGGGGGGCAAAAGGGGAAAACTGGGACAACAGTAAGAGCCTAATCAATCAAACATAATTTTGAGAAGTGTGTGCTGTGGCGGCTCCACATCCTTAGGCTGTGGGGCTTCTTGAGGGCATTGTACAGCATCTCTTCCATCTTTTTGTCCGTGCTCCAGGGCTAGACTTACTGTGTGTCCTTAGGGCTGCTGTGAATGGGTAGGGGCCATTTCCATGTGGTGCCTGATGTACATTTGAAGGGCGGAGGATGATCCCCAACTGCTTAGCAGAAACCGAGTGGAGAAGGGGCATCACCAACCAAAAGCAGGAGTAGGTTTGGTGGGATCGATGACAGGGTCCCTTTTATTTATAGACTTGTGTTTAATTGTTGTAGGCATTACGTATGGTACGCAATTCCAAAGGCACAAGGAAGTTAATATGAAAAGTATGTCTTCTCCCATCGTCACGACCACTTTTACCAGCTTCTGTGTTCTTTTAGAAGAGTCTATGCATATTACACAAATTATATTCTTTTTTTTTTAAATCCTCACCCGGGGATATGTTTACTGATTTGAGAGAGAGACAGAGAGAGAAACATCGATGTGAAAGAGAAATATTGATTGGTTGCTTCCCATATGCACCCCAACTGGGGACTGAACCCGCAACCTTTGGGATGATGCTCCAACCAACTAAGCCACCTGGCCAGGGCAGACGTGTTATGTTCTTTCGTTCATAAAAAATATTCCATACAACCATTTGTTGTAAGGCAAAGGAAAAAAGCATTCTATCTTAGTATATATACAGAGTATATAAAATTCAGTTTTAGAAAAAATTTAAGGTGATTGTGAAACATCAAGATAGAAATACCTTGTAAACGGTGAGAAATGCTGCTCAGAAGAACTCACTGCCCTCTGCCTGGGGGATTAGAAGCGCTGGAGCGGGCAGGATCGTCCAGGGAATGCGATGTGAATGAACTGAAAGGCAAGAATGAAAGGAACGTGTTCTTCCGGGGACACATGAAAAAGGAGTGGCTAGTGACTGTCGTCCATGAAGGAAAAACGAGTCGTCTCTGGTGAGACCAAAGAAGTTTCTTAAGATTCTGCCCACAAACTCAGAAAACGTGAACTGAAACTTGGAGTAGTCAGTTCAATAAAATGGTGCAGACAAAAAGGTTACAGTAAAATCTATAAAAGGAAAAAGGACAGGTTTGAGTGCAAAAAAAAGTCCTTCCTGACAAATATCTATTAAAAAAAAACATAAGCAACAGACCAGGAGACAATATTTACAATATTTACAGCCTCCAAGAATTAATATGCAAAATATGTAAACAGCTCCTACGGCTGGCTGCGGTTGTTGGAGCATTCACTATATGCCAGGCGATGTTCTTGGTGTTTTGCATGGATTATCCCCTGCGATCTTCACATGCCTTTATGAAATAGGAGTTGAATGAGGAAACTAAAATTTAGGTAATGTTTCTGAGGCCACATGCTTAGCAAGGGCAGACCAGGATACTGACCCAGAATCTGCATACTTCACCATTACACTATGATGTTTGTTAAATTAATAAATAAAATGTTAACCTAAAAAAGAGGGGCAAATAATATTAGCAAGAAAACACGCGCACGTCCAAAGAGTCAACAAACGTAAAACTAACACTGATGAACGGAAGAATACACATTTAAATGGCGGTGGGTTGTGGGCCGTCACTCGGATTGGCGGAACTAGTCTGTGTCGCTGGGAAACAGGCTCCTGTTCTTGATGAAAATAGAAACTGATTCAGCCTTTTTGTACGGCAATTTGGCAGCCTCCTATAGTCTCTGTGCTAACGCACAGAATCACACCGTCAAATTGACTCGCACGCATCAGGGCTCTTCTTTTTTTTCTTTTAAAGATTTTATTTATTTATTTGTAGAGAGAGGGGAAAGGAGGGAGAAAGAGGGAGAGAAACAGGGATGTGTGGTTGCCTCTTGCACGCCCCCTATTGGGTACCTGGCCCGCCTGCAACCCACGCGTGTGCCCTGGCTGGAAATTGAACCTGCGCCCCTTTGGTTGAAGGCTGGCACTCAATCCACTGAGCTGCACCAGCCAGGGCGAGAGCTCTTATCCATGTAAAGGTTGACCCGTCATTCCGAGGACACTGGCAGTCCAGGCGCTGCGGGAGCAGGGCGGACTCTGCAACATCCTGCAAGCCTGCGGCCCCTTGAGCCCACGCTGGACGTGCCCTCTGGCCCCCGTAACAGGTGAGGTCTCAGGTGAGCTTGCAGGAACAGCTCCAACAGAAGGGAGCCTTCGGGTGAGGGAATATTGCTCTTTTACACGCTGTGTCGTTTCGTTGCATTGCTGGTGTGGCTTCAGGAGCCTAGCCGCACAAATCCATAGATTCTAAGTTTGTTTATGGCGGCCACTGGTTTCCCAGCCACATTCTGCTAAGAGTGCTCCGTGGATAAGAGCTCTCCTAGCAAATATTAACCTATGTACCAGGAGGTCCAGTTTTCAGTGCATTTACAAGGAATTTAGGTGTAGCCCCTCCCCTGCCTTCTCTCTTCCCCCGGAACCAAAGCCCAGCTGCCATAATTCCTTCCTCTCTCTTTCCTCAGATGCTCAGGCAGATGAGCAAAGGTGTATGGAAAAGGATTGTTACCATGCTATGTTTAAAGGAAAAAATTGAAATAGCCTGGAAGTCCCTCCACAGGGAAGTTAACTAGAAATAATCAGCCTGCCAATTAATAGGAAATTATGGCATACTTGGCAAAACATCAGGCAGTGTTAAGGGGTCAGAGAAAAAAATAACTTTCCAGGGCACCTTTAGAGGAAAGGGGTTTGCCATTCAATGTGAAGCGGCTGTTCCTAACAAATGCATACACGTATAATGGTCCCCCCTTATCTGAGGTTTCACTTTCCACAGTTTCAGTCATCCTAGGTCAACCACATCTGAACATGTTAAATGGAAAATTCCAGAAATAAACAATTCATAAGTTTTCAATTGCACTTCTGTGTAGCATGGTGAACCCTCTGCCCTTCCACACCCCCTGCCCCGGAAGTGAATCATCTCCCTTAGAGGCTCCCACCCTGTTTGATAGTCAGGTAGCCGCCTTGGTGAGCAGGTAACTGTCGGTGTGGGTGTCGCTGTGCTTGTGTTCACGTAACTCTA